ATTTGATGTATTGCCCTTGAAGAACTTACTCTTATATATATATATATATATATATATATATATATATATCCAATTTGATTTTTACTAATCATAGTGTGAAAACCTAGCCAACCATAAATAACACATATCAAATTAACAACTATTAAACTATATTCAGTAAAATTAGTTAATTAACCATTGGAGAAATATGTTTTTTTGCTATTTTTCAAAAATGTGTCATCTTGGTGACAGCCAGGCCAGATTTTACGTAACGATAGCTGCATTATTTCATCAATAATGCGATGCATTTAAATTATAGGGTTGTTCGAAAAGTCACTTTGTTTTTTTACCACCAGAATTTAACTATATTTTTTGAGCCTAACAACACACTTAAGCCCTATAATTATTATATGATTTGGAAAGTTATATTTTAGGCTTGTGTTTAAAAAACCTAATCAATTGCATGCAGTAGTTTTTGGATGCCACTTTGAATACGGAAAGAATTAAGCAGCATTTTCGACATGTTTTACTTTTTTGCTATAGAAAAGGTAAATATATTGTTTAAGTCAAAATGAAATCAACCGATGTGTATGGAAATGCGGTGTTGATAGTACGACAGTGCCAAAATTGGTTTCCTAAATTTCATTTCTGGTATTTTGATGTTCAAGATGCACCACGTCCAAGAAGTAAGGTTGAAGCTGATAAAGATACGAAAAAGGCATTAGTAACGCAAACTGGCGAATAACAATACATGACATCTCATTGAGTTAAAATTTATCAAATTTAACAGTTCATGACCACTCAATGTATAGTTCTCATAGAAAGACGTCCGCGATTTGCCTCTGAACAGTCTTGAAAATTATCAGGTTTTGAAGCGAATTGTCACTAGTAATGTCAAATGGGATGTAAAGAATACAATACACGCAATTGCCCATGAAACAATTCGCTGAAAGAAGAAGAACCTGCTCAAAACAGGTGCAAAGCTGAAATTTGCCAGAAAAAGGGGATGCAGTATGTTTGGTAAGGCTTTAAAAGAGTTGTTCATTTTTCAGTTTTTTTAGGATAACAGAACGATTAATTCAAATGCCTTATATCATCAGCTGGATAAACTAAATGATATTCTTCAATAGAGAAGATCAGAATTAACCCACAAGCAAGGCGTAGTCCTGCATCAAGACGATGCAAGACACCTTACATTGGTCAATTGCCAGAAGCTTTTGAAGCTTGAATGGGATCCAACGACACATTAATCATATTCTCCAGACCCGCCATCGTCGGACCAATATTGGTTCCGGCAACTAAAAAAAAATTAGGCTCAAACCAGCATGTCAAAAAGCACTTTGATCAGTTTTTTTGCCAATAACGACCAAAAAATTTATGATCTCAGAAATATGACAAAAGATGTTCGATAAAAACTGTCACAACATAATTTATTAAAGTATATGTTTATTTCACGAAAATTATGGGCCAATGGCCAAAATGTCTATAAAAAACGTAGTTACTTTTCAAACAACCCAATATTAAGTTGAACAACAAACTTAAACATTAAAACTTAAACAAATAATGTCAAATATAATAAACTAAAATCTTCTTCAGCACATACTACTATCATAAATCTTGCTTTTGAAATTCATTGTTTATTGAAATACAATTATTAAGGTCATTACTCTTTAATATACAAATACTTCATATACAACCTTCGCCAGAAAAAATATCATTAGAGTAGGAGTAACTATTAATTTATGATATCTCTTGTCAAATTGTCTTTTTTAACTTATTTTACTGTTTTATTTACGAATTTCTTATTATTGTTGTTTACACCATTACACCTTTGGTTTAGTTGGTCCCTTTGGTAAGCTTTTATAGAGGTTATATAAAGAATAAAAGAAATCTAGCTCAATAATAATAGCACACTTCACAAAACAATTAGATAACATGTACTTAAAAATTATATTAAAATATCAAAATCGAAAGAACAATGCTCGAAACCAATAGAACTAACCACGAAAAAAAATACTCTAGGTTTAAGGCGATGGTTACACGTCTTTTGCCGTTCACATTAAAAATGATATTGTTAAAAAATACTAAAGTTTACTTGCATTTGAAATAATGGTGGTGGGTTTTTTACTCCTTTAAAAAAACGCTTCACCGATCTTCATCGAAAACTAAGTACGACCTTCGACTGACGTTTTACGAACGGTTTTGGAATCTTCAAAATCAGTTCAGGTTTTTTGCAAAAACGTGTAAATTTTGCAGCAATTCCGGGTAAGCAATCCCAGGTAAGAGCCATTTTCACTTGAAAACATATTGCTATCAATATTTCCAAGTGAAAACCGATGTCACTACTGCATTCAGATGCCATTTGCCTATGAGCGAGCCTGGAAAATTAATAAAATTATGTATATAAAGAAGATAAAATGCGATGATAGTTAGAAAAGGAACCATCCTAGATCTTTACAAACAATCTGACCCATTCTGGAAAAACAATGCTATGAAAAGATGCAGGGAATGAACGTTTGGAAGCAGACATCTCCAAAAGTTTGAAAGGTCATGTGGAGAAATGAACAATATACAAAAGTGGTAAAGACTTATTGAATAAGGTTGTGTTTCATCTCACAGACGTTGTCTTCGAATTGAATTTGACTTACACATTATCTAAATATGTACACAGGGCCGGTTCTGCCTTGCATGCGATGCATGCAAAAAATCGGGCGCACGCCTTAGGGGGCGCCAAAACGAGATTTGGAAATGAAATTTATAATATATTATTAACATTTTTTTAAATATAAAATCTAGAATACTTTATAGGTTATAATAAACAATCTAACTTCTATGAATACGGGGACACAAAAAGCATATTCAGTTTGCAATGTGATATCAGTAGAAACAATTCATTACTCTGCAAATTTGTAAATTATTGTTCTGTTTATTGTTTAATATACTAATTAAATTTTTTCTTCGTTTGAAATTAACGTAAAATCGAAAAAAAATGATCTAGGGTTCATCACCTAAGCGCAAACCTACAAAAATTTAAATTAATTATTGGGCGTTATTGATGAAAAATTGCGAGCTGATTTATTTGAAACGGAACTTGTTAAAGAAATATATACTAATTATAATAAAGAAAATGAAAATTCGGGAGTCAGTGTTTAGAAAATGAATTGTTTATTTCGAGAAATTGAATTGTAACTTAAATGACTTTGGAACAAAAATTGTTGAGCTTTTTTCATACCTAGTGGTGCCTATGCTCTAAATTTATTTATTAACTATTTAAAAATAATACATATACAAGTTGAATCAGTTTTTTTTTTCGATATTCAGGAAATATGTAATTTCTTTGCATCTTTTACTGATCTTTGGTCAATACTTTTAAAATACGTTAAAAATTTAACAACAATCTGATTCTCTGAATCTGATCGGAATGTAAAGATGAATCAATTCGGCCCTTACGATATCAATAAGGAGAAGTTTACGATGCACTTTTGGATATTGTAAATACTGAAAAAATAAATTGAAATAAAATTTAAAAAATCCTGCGTGTAATATGATGTGTTATGTTCAAAAATGAAAGGCTAGTTTTTTTGCTCTTTTGGCTCGATTTACTTAATAGAATAAATCGCATAATAAATAAGTAATATGCTCAAATGTTATTAATGTTTAAAACCCAAACATTTATATTACACATATGATAGAAACACTTGAAAATTTAAAAATGTTTGATTACGATCAACCGCGAATTGCCTAGATTTTCTAAATAAATTTAAAATGTATGTATTTTATACGCTTTTAAATTTTATCTAATTTTTTATTACGATTAATAATTAATTGAAAAAATGTACGTAAATATTTATATACTTTTAATGATAAACTTTTAAAACAGTTAAAATTATTGGAGGGGGGGGCGCAAGAGCAAATCTTGCATGCAGGCGCTGACGACCCCAGGACCGGCCCTGTATGTACAAATGTATAAATTGTATATAACATTTGAATTATTATTATATTATATTTTTATTGTTATTTATCTTTCCAGTAAACTAACTACTATAACTAATTAACTATAACTACTAACTAATTATATTATTATAAATTTATAAGTGTATATATGGAAAATAACTAAAAAAATGAAAAATAACTAAACAAAGCATAAATATTCAAAGCATTTATTTATTTATTTATTTATATTTATAAGCAGTAAAAAGTAATATTATTTGCCGCTCTTATTATTATTTGAATGAAGTATGTAAAGTAAAATTATTATTTATTAGGTTATTTACATTTCAAATTAATTAATATTTTATAGTATATAGTATATAGTATACAGTATATATTATAGTATATAGTATATCAGAACAAAAAAATAATATATTATAAGTTTGATTGTTTTAGTTTTCAAATTCTAATAAAAGTCTCAATTTCATCTGCCATGGTAAAGTAGTATTAATAAATAACGAAATGAAGTTATACTAAATTAATAATAAAGTTATACTAATTAATAAAACAGTATAAAAAAAAACAATTTCAGTTAAATAAAACGGTTAAATCATTTAACTTAAATGGTTTGTACAGATGAATGTATGAATGAAAATATTTATTGAAATCGAATTGAGTAAACTCCGTGATATCAATGACATAAGAATAACAACAACAACAGGTAGAATGGGTTGAATGAAATTGTTTCTTATCTAATAATATTGAGTGTAAATTCATTCATACAATTTCATACGTATGCGTATGTGTCATTAATTAGTTTGTGTCCGGTGTTACAGTTTGCCCGAATGATGAATGAATCTGCCATTTACGCGCCAAAGCCGTATAACGAGTAACGACTTCATGAACCAGAAACTCATTCAATTCTTTTGATATCTATTTAATTGTTAGATGTCGTATCATCGCGTGTCAGATGATAACGTTACGAATTGAGGTTTCCAATCCTCAATGTTATTGTTATTTACTTCTGTGTGTCCAATCTTGATGAATAAAGATGTCTGTGCGTAATCCGCTAGCTGTTTAGATCGTCGCCATTTAATAATGTATATAAGTGTATTAAATACATAGTAAATTTATGGTTTAAAGTTTAGAACGACCTATTTGAAAGTGTTTTAGTGCATATTTAAGATTAATTAACGATGGGCAGATAATGACTGTCTGTGATATGTGCTTGTGTAAATGGATATAGCAACAGATAAACTCACAGATAATGCTAGGTAACAGGTAACATATTAATGTTTTCTTATTGAATTTCAATATTTACCTTTACGCGGGAATGGTATTCTGTTTACAAATATTGCGTATTTTGCTTTGAAATATGAGGAAAACATTATTGTTGGCCAGTGTTTTGTTTTTGTCCAAAGAAAGTTGACAGTTGTAGTGTCATTTCACTTAGCCTACTTACAAATATCTTTACACAATTTTTATCCCGCTCAAAATGTAACGTGGAAACAATTTATTTTGAGTGCAATATAAATATACTTATTTTTCAGTTATGTTGTGATAATGTCACAATTGCCTCCAAACTAGTGTTTTTCTTAACCTCTAACAATAATACAAAAAATAGCACGACATACTTTTGTGGAACATCGTTTAGCCTGGATTAGTTTACTATAATAACATTATGTAAGATTTAAATACATAATTCATTTTTTAAATTTAAATTTTTAGGAGTCGATGACTTTCATGTAGGCACTTAAAAATACACATACCATGGCAAATATGAATGAAAGAGATATTCCTAGTGTTCCCATCACAACACTAGCAGGGGTAGCCAGTTTAACGGGTTGTAAGTATGAAATTATATATCTTCTTGGTAGTGAATTTATTTTGTTTTAATTTTCTCAGTGGTTTTTTCTTAGTGGCAGTAAATAATACATACCATCGATGATAGTGAGATTCAAGTGTGTATATTTTCACTCAAACTGCAAAGTGATATATAGTTAAAATAAGTGCATTTTAAAAACCTGATATTGAAAGTTTAAACTAATAACTAAAATGATGTCATATGACACCAGTAAAATAACGAACTGTGTCCAGTGATTTAAATGTTAAAGTGTATATGCATATAAGTTTTTTTAATAGAAACTCTAACTAAGTTAAATATATGATCTTTTTTTGTATTTTGTGGTTTCTGTCAACATGTGTTATAATATCTTCGAAGTGAGATTTGTTAATAAAAATCCTGCAGTGTTCTTTTGATCGACAACTCATACCTATACAAAATATCAGTTCACAAAATAAAAAAAATAAGCATAGTTAATCACTAAATTTATATCAATTGAATGCAATTTTTTTTCGTACTATTTATTTAGGTACTATTTAAACTGTCAAATGTAAAGTCATCTAACTAAATCATTTTAATGATACGGTTCATGACATAAAGTTCAATATGTTATAAAAACAAATACAATTTTTTATTATGTATAAAAGTCATATGTTATTTTTTAAGTTGCAAAGAGTGAAAATTATTTAGTGTTTGGTAGTATCGTAATTTTTGCAACATGAATTATGTAATATAAATATGACTGTTTAATATTAAACTATAAGAGAGAAACAAATATTCTTCAAATATATAATATAAGTGTTTGTTCTCTTTAGTACTACCTGAAATGCCGCTGCCTACGCCTTTAGCTCAAACTTTGAGTACTAAATCATTGTTATTTCATCCACGAGTGGCAGAGGAGGCTTTAAATTTGCTTGAAGTGCGTGGTGAATCTTTAGTACCTGGTTTAGTTCAATCTTTGGGGCAAACATCTGCCAATCATATGTAAGTTTTCTAAATATAAATATCACTCTGTTTTTTTTTTAAATAATTATGAACTCTTCATCTTTAAAGAATTAATTAATTATATTGAAAAGCAAATAAATGTGTCAAACTTTTCAGAGAACTCAAAGATGAGTATATTGGTTCTCAGTACTTGACCGATCCACATAATACGAAGACACCACAGTTACTGCAATCAATATTGGAAAAAAATCCAAATGCTTTCAATGGTGGTAATTTTCCTATGCATCTCGTAACAAGTAAGTAATAATGCTATATCAATCAATTTATTTTAAAGATTGAGCTTAAATATTACATGTTTTGCACATAGGTTGATTTATTTTTATTTTAATCTATATATTGTTATAACTCAGATTATTATGTAATTATTACTAATCTAATTTTGTTCCAAATACTTAAGCCTTTCACAAAACTTCAAGATAGAAAAGTAAATTATTTGTAAACATTTGCAATATTAAATAAAACTTAATTAAAAATAAACAAAATTAATAAATAAGAACTTATTAAATTAAAAAAAAGGTGAGTTTGATAAGTGGATAAAGCTTTCGTGTTTGTTTAGATCATATGCCTTGTGTATCGAGTCAGAATTGGAACCACAATTCAATGTCACCGAACATGGGAAGAAATATCATGACAAAATATGGCCAGATATCTCCATGCGGTTCTCGGCAAATACCTCAGGGAAGTCCAGCAGCACCTGCATCAGCCACATTGCCATTTCTCCCACCTCCTGTGTCGATGACAAATCATGTACAATTTAATCAGCACGACCTTAATAAAGATATGAATTTAACAGATAATACTAATGAATTGTCACATGCCTTCAATAGTGATAGACAAGCTGCTGTTAATATGTATAATGGGATGTATGTAGACAATATGAATAATTTAAATATGAATAATATTAATGCAAATGTCGTAAGCAGTCCTCATGTAGGAGTAATACGTGATCATGAGGAAGGAAAATATGTGAACCAACGAAATTCTATTAACTATATGGGCAATGATCAAGGAGCTGGCCGTTTTCCTAACATAAGAGGTGATAGGCTTTTCTCCATTAACATAAAGTACTATTAAAATAATATTTTGAGCATAAAATATTCAAATCAACAAAAAAAAACTTTATTGTGCAAATAAAAATTTATGATACTCGCACTTTTTTTTAAGCTTATAATGCAATGCTGCCATACCTATATATTAATAAGAAAATATATATAAATGTAAATTTTAATAGGACCATCTCCAGCTCAAGCTAGTGATGCACCTATGGCAACTGGAGTATATACCACAACACCATTTGAAGTAAAATCTACTGTCGCAATTCCTCCACCAGATATATTCAAAAATTCTTTGGTATCAAATATAAATCAATCAAATGAGGTAAATCAAGTAAAAATGTTATGTAATTCAAAATATGTGATTTCTGTTGACCCCACAAAATACTTGAATAGTATTTTGTAGGGTCAGCAGAATAGTAAACAAATTTCTGAAGGTTATATTTGCAAATATATATATGTATACAGTGGTAACTCGCCGTACGAGCGACTCGACGTGTTTTTTGACATGCGAGCTGCCGAGGGGACGGCTTGTTTGCTTTTTTATATAAGCAAAATTTGTGATACGAGCCGCCAAAGAAGCGATATGCCGGTAGTACACAATGCAAAGTGTATTCGGGAATGAGCGAGTGAGAGGCGTAATGTAAACTTATGGCGGTGCGAATGAAACAGATTCATCAAATAGCAATTGTAACTAGGATTTTCGAATGTGTAGTCGCATTTAATTATCATACAAATATTAAAAGTAAATTATTTTGAAGTTAGAAAATTCAGTTCATTAATTTTAATGTTATGCATTTGTTTGCAATGTTGAATAAACAAAAAATTCATGGATAAAAATTACCCCGAAAAAGATGCAGCTGGTTGAGCATGAGAGTTGTTTGACGAAACATGTCTAACTCAGTTTTGCAATACTATGAGTTGAAGAAAAAAATAATGCTCATTGGATAGTTTTTTTAAACTCAAAAACTAGTATAATAATAATTTTGTCATTTTTTATTTAGAAATTTGCTTTTTCAAAATATGTATTCATTTATTTTTAGCAATAAATGTTTCATTTAATTTCATTAATACAAATCTTGTACTAGAACGAATTAATAGCATTTTAATGTATTTATATGAAAAAAATTGCTTTGAGATACGAACAATTCGGCATGCGAGCGTGGTTACTGAACGAATTACTCTCGTAAGGTGGGGTACCACTGTATATATATATATACATTACTCATTGCTTATTAATACTTACTTTTGTCAGCATAGTGCATTAACATTTAACTTAATTTAATTGATTAGCAAACCTGAATTATAACATTTTTTATCAGCTTTTATCCTTATCATTATATTATCTGCTTTTGTAATAATTTTATTTCATATAATGAAGTTCTTTTAGGGAACTATAATTAGAAAATTATTCAGAAATATGATTATATTTCAGAACAATACAGTTAATTGTGTAACACAACCTCAAAACTTTTCAAATTTAACAATACAACAAACAAATGTTGAGCCAAGCTTATCAAACCCTCCTTCTGAACCTGTGATCAACAAAACCCTTGAGAAAACGGTAAATATAGTACTATTTTTATATTAAAATAATACATATGTTTAAAAATGTTTTGCTTCAACATATTTGTACACATAGTTTAAGTATCTCTTTTCTGTATGCTAATTGTTGTTCATAATGTTATTTAATCATAACTATTCAATGTATAATTATTATAATAATAAGTAAGTGATAGTAAATTTGTCATACAGGAACCAGAACAAGAGCAAAAGAATGTAGTTGTACAAAGCAGCCAGTTAGAGATGAACCACACTGAACCTGTAGAAGAAAAGGATAGTTCAGATGGTACTAAACTTTATGAATAGCTCTTATATTTATTTATTTCACTAGAAAATAATTACCTATATATATCAAAACGTGTTATAAACAATTTTATAAATGGTTTTTATATATTTTATGTTTTTATATATTAATGGTTTTATATAATATTCATTTATTTATACTTTAGAAAAAGTTAAGCAAGATTCAGATCCAGAATTTGTGCCTGATGAACAAGTTGATAATTTTACTGCCTTACAAAGAAAACGTCCCTACAATAAAGTTCAACCACCTACTACTGAAATACCAAGTTAGTGTTGACAGGATATAGTAATTTTTTTTATATTTCATGTATATTATATATTTTAATTAATATTCTAGTTGTTAAGCCAAAACTGCGAAAGATTGAACGGAAATTTGTACCTGTTATTCAAAAATTATCACAAGAAGATTTAATAAGATCGAATACTTACGTTCAGTTTATAAAGGAAATTAATAAAGTTTTAGAAAATGTCGAAGATTACAATACTGAATATGGTAAGTGTTCATGTTAAACAAACATCAATTTTATTTGATTGAATCTATCATTGCCTTATTACAGTAAATCTTTGTTCTGGATTTATTATGTAATTTGTGAACTTATTCATTTTTCAGATGAACTATCATCAGATTTATTCATACCTCAACATCAGCTAATTGTTCTTTCACAAGAAGCAGCAAAATTGAAAAATTCTGGAGCTATGTCTTCCATGCCTAGTCAGAAAATATTACGGATTTTAGATATTTTAACCCACAATATAAAAGGGGGATTGAATGTTTTGCCATTGGCAGATCCTGTAAGTTAAATGCATATTCAAAATATAATTTAATTTAATACTTTGATAAAAAAAATATAATGGATAAAATATTAATATATAAATACAATATTTCAAAGCTCGAAATGGATTTATAATGCACTTGGATGCAATGAATATGTGTATAAAGTAGAATTTTTAACAACTTACAACTTACAACAAATTTAGTTAATATTAAGGTCATACGCTATAATCATAAAAACTGAAATATAATTGAATCCATATTTTAGTTTTTATGATTCTTTATGCTCATTTATTTTAATATCAATTCTAGGATGAAGATGATGATTCATCTGAAATGTGGTTAAATACAGCTATGGAAAGAGTAATGGGAGCAACCGAATCATCTCTTATCACTTTGTATATTATGACATCCAAAGAAATGCCAAAGAATGTTTATATTGAAGATTTAATAGATCATATTGTTCAATTTGCACAATATCAATTACAAAACACTATCTATCCAACGTTAGATGCTACACACAGGATAGAGAATAATACCGTAAACAAACAAAAAAGTAAGACATTTTTTTTATTTTTTTTTTTTTTGCATATTTATTATTTGATTATTATTATTTATAAGTCAACATGAATCAAAGACTTGCTCAATTAAAGTCTGATTTATAAGACAATTAAGATCAATTGCTTATGACAGAAAACTACAAATTTCTTATATTATTATAATGTTTTGCATTTATTTTGCAGTTGATAAACGGAAAAAACACCAGCAAGTTGTAAATGCTCAACAGAGAAAAAATATTTTATCATTTTATACAAAATTATTGGAAATTGTTCGATTACTTACTGAACTTTTAAGTTTACAATCTTTAACAGATACAACTATACTGCATTTATCATCAATGAGTGTTTCCCCGTTTTTTGTGGAAAATGTTAAAGAATTACAACTAGAGTCACTGAAACTAGTTACCACAGTAAGTTTACTAACACATCTATTTATGTACAACTAATTTGTTGCAAATATTACCTTGATTTTAATTCATTTAGTACTTCATAAAAGTACAGAAAAACAACAAATATTTTTTAAGAACTTTCAAGTAAATCAAGTTTTTCACATAATAATCTACCTTAATGTCTACCAATTCATAAAACTTCTGACTATTTTATTTCTTATTAATTTGTCTTTTAGATTTTTACAAAATATGAAATGCATCGTAAACTTCTTCTGAATGATATTTTGGCTTCGATGGCACGTTTGCCTAGCACAAAGAGGAATTTACGGTCATACAAATTAGACACTGATGCTGATATACAGATGTTAACAGCATTAGTATTACAACTAATTCAATGTGTTGTTGTGCTTCCTGATAAATTAATGGAACCTGATGCAGATACCAAGAAAATAAACTCTGATAGTACAAATGAAATAAAATTAACCGTAGATAAAGATGTGTTTGTGCAACAGAAATATACCTCTGCTGTTAGTATTGGTGGAATGTTTCTCGATACATTTTTAAACAAATGCAGAAGTCGACAGGAAGAAACTGATTTTAGGCCTATGTTTGAAAATTTTGTTCAAGATTTACTTGTTACTGTCAATAAACCACAATGGCCGGCTGCTGAACTACTCTTGAGCTTATTGGGCACGATGCTGGTATTTATATAGTTTTTATTTAAATTATTTACTGTATGCTTGAGGCAATGGTGTATATATGATTTTTAAATTTATTTTTCAAAATGAAACATGGGATTCATAAGTATAGTTATAATTCAGTTTCTGCAGTATTTATTCATTTGGAATCAGAATCTAAAAGATACTTGGCTGAATACATTTGTAATTTTTTAATGGGAGTAAATTATTTTATAGATACAATAATTCCAACAAAATTAATTACAGTTTTTTATATTTGATTAATAAATAAAACGTTCACCGTTATGGTATGTTTGCTGTGAGGCGACGCGTGGTCATTGCCTTCGAAATGCGCACCACCGGTGGATCGCGCCGCCCGGTAGAACAGCCTAGTGCGGGGCACCAGTGGCTCACGCCTGCGTCAACGTTTTAAATAGTATTAGAAGCACACATTCAGTAACAAAAGAAAGTGCTTATTATGTAATTTTAATAAATATATTAATTCAATATTGGGTTAACTTGACATTTTTATGCATAACTTGAACTGTATACATAAAATTGTTATCTATTTTAAGATCAAATATATATCAAATAAAAGCATGGATGTTGGCATTCGAGTGACATCATTGGAATATTTGGGGTTAGTGGCAGCAAGATTACGTAAAGATTTAGTTTATTCAACTTGTAAAGTGGATATGGTGGATAAAATGATCGCAGATATTAAAGCAGAGGAACAAAAAGAGGGCGATTTTGATTCTGATGAGAAAAAAGTAAGTTTTTTTAAAACAAATTTATCATGTTTGCTTTGTTTTAGATTAATTTTAAATATATATCTAAATTATAACTACAGTAGAAGGACGTTGAGGAGCCCTGTGTTGGACTATCGAAAATTTCGGAATATCTGGTGGTAACAATTAGTTTAATAATTAAACTACAAAATCAGTAGGAAATACAAACAAAAAAGATTATTTTACATTTATATATAATACATATATTAAATATTTTTGAATTTTTAAAAAACATGTTCAATTTTTAAAAAGACAAAAGTTTGATGATTTATAGTTTCTGATTGAGTGTTACGTGTTTTAGTTTCAGTAGACAAACTTGAAAAACGGTCGAATATTTTGTTGAACAAATGGGATACATATTTCATATAAGTACTTTGTTCATGAACCTTAGACACAATGGAATTTACCATAAACACGATTACCGAACAATAGTGAGTTCTTCTGAATTATTTTAAACCAATAACATTTGAACTTTCTAATAGTTCTGGAGAGTTTTTATTTGCTCGATAAAAATCGAAATTTTCAAAATGCCGGACTATCGCTCATTCCGGACTGTTGGGTGCGGGTCTAAAGGACTTCTACTGTATAACATCAATATTATTATTTTGGATATTGTTATTGTTGCGGAAATGTTAATATTTTTTGTATTATTTGTTGAGTTGCTCATTTAAGCTGTTTTTAATTTATAGACAAATGTGGTACTAAGTGCCGAAGAAGAAAGAGTGCAGTATCTGCAAAGTGTACTGTTGGATTTTTTAGCAATAAATGCCGAACAAGATATTTCTTGGACACATGCGAGGCATTTTTATTTGTGTCAGTGGTATATTGACAATAATACTGAGAAAAGTAGGATAGCAGCTGGAGGTACTCATAAAATGCATTCTAGAAAACAATCAAGAAAAAAGAGATCTAATAAAGGTATAACAATTGATTTCTTCATTCAAGGTTTATCTTACTTGCTCAAACTTTTCTTGATCAAATTTGAGTAATTTTAAATTTTGTTAATTAATTTAGTTTTTTTTTATTTCATTCTTTTCATATACATTTTTTTAGGTGAAGACACAAGTGATGAAGATGCATATTCAGATCCAAATGAAGAAATAAACAGAATGACAAGAGTATCAGATCAACAATTGAATTCTGAAGTCTACAGTTTAATTGAGCATAGGAAAAAATTTTTACTGAATAAAATCAAGCCCTTTCATGATAAATATTCTGGAGGCATTAAAGTACAGATATTTAAAACTTATATTAATTATAGCAATGCCGAACTAATAGCACAGTACCTGGCTTCAAATCGTCCATTCTCGAAGAGTTTTGATAAGTTTTTGAAAAATGTTAGTATATAATATTTAATTCATTTATTGATATTGCTGTGGATTTTTCTAAGCTCTAAATATTTCATTTAATGAATAATCATGTCTTACAGATGGTACTTGTACTTTGTGAGAATTCAATAGCAATTAGAACAAAAGTTATGAAGTGTATGAGCATGATTGTGGAAGTAGACTCAAAAGTTTTAGCGAGGAGTGACATGGCCTGTTCTGTGAAAAATTCTTTGTTAGATCCAGCAGCTTCAGTTCGAGAAGCAGCTGCTGACTTGCTAGGAAAATTTATGTTAGGACAACCCGAAATTATTGACCAGTACTACGATAGATTAACGGGGAGAATTTTGGTTAGTAAGAATAATATTTAGTGAAAATATGCACAATTAATACAATTATTCTCTTGTACACTCACATTGAATAATCTCTCATATTTTCTTTAGATTAATTAGTAATATGCAACAAGTATAGCTTTTCAAATTTAAATTTTATTTTATTCAGGATACTTCAGTCGCTGTGAGAAAGAGAGTGATCAAAATACTGCGAGATATATGCATTGAATTACCAACATATAAGAAAATTCCAGAAATATGCATTAAAATGATAAAGCGAGTAAATGATGAGGAAGGCATTAGAAAGCTAGTTGTGGACGTTTTTCAAGAAATGTGGTTTAAACCTGTGCATAGTTCTCAGGAATCTGAAATATTGACAAGGAGGGTGTCAAATATTACAGCTGTTGTTATGGCTTTGAAGGACAACAACAATAATGAGTGGTTTGAACAATTACTGATGAATGTAAGTAACTTGTTGAAATCTATAACAATAGTGCATAGCCACAGACAAATTTTAATGTAATTAATGCTAGGATATGATGTATTCAAGTTTTATTTATTTATTTTCTATACTTTTCTATTCAAAAATCTTATGAATATTTATTCTGATGTTTGTAATTTCATCACAGTTATTTAAACCTAAAGAAGATAAAGAAGATTCAACAAAAATGCACATTGAACCTCCAAAAGTGCTGATAAATGCTTGTACGCAAATAGTTGAATATTTGATTAAAACAATTATCTCTCTGGAGCAGTGTCCAGAAGACAATAAAGAAAGTCAACAAAGGAGTAGCAAATTGGCTGCGTGCATGAGCACACTTAATTTGTTTACAAAGATCAGGCCTCAAATGCTAATTCGGCATGCCATTACACTAGAACCTTATATGATAATTAAATGTCAAGTAAGTTTCTATTAATTTCTTTTAAGTGGTAATTAAATAAGAAAAAAATTACATTGTTTTGTCTAACATTTCTCTGAGCAATTAATTACAGTGTTGAATTAAGTTTTCAAAGTATAGATTTGATATTATTATAAACATTTTTCATGTAATTTTTTAACTTTACAGACACCAAACGACATTGCAATTGCAAGTGCAGTGGCTAGTATAATGGAGCTTACAGTTCCTTTGATGGAGCATCCCAGTGAAACATTTTTAGCAAGAGTCGAAGAAAATGTTATCAAATTAATTATGTTCAATTCAACACCGAATATTGTTATAAATTGTTTCTCTTGTCTTGGCGCTACTGTGAATAATGTTACTCATAACTATAGATTAATAAGAGATTTTTTTTCTAGATGTTTTGGTGAGTGATAGTATTCTATGAAAAAATTTCATGCTATATAAGACTTTTCCTTTTGTTTCACTATTTAGTAGCAAACATATCATTTTATAAATAGGACTCTGCTAATTTAATTTGCATGTTTCAAATAATATAAGATATTTAATGTTTTATTTGTGTTAACAGGCCATTTACGTCAAATTAGAAATCTTTCTAGTTTAGAAACAGGACTTTTTAATTCACCAAGTCCAAATTTTAGACCATATCTACGAAGGTTTTTATTTATAATAGGACTAATGTTACGTCATTTTGATTTTAATGACCCAGTTGTAATAGAAGGTCTGGAAGTAAGTTGTTATGAAATATATTTTATAATTTAATTTGTACTTTTAATATGATAAGAACAATCTTTCAGCCCGATATCAAAGATCAAGTATTCGAAACGTTATTATTTTTTATACAAATAGAGGATTTAGATTTACAACTACACACATTGAGAGCAATTGGCTCCGTTTGTGTGAGGCATTATGATTTAATGTTAAAACCTGAGTTGAAATCGTTTTATCACAGAATGTTGTTGGGTCCTGATTCACCAACCAATATGAGAATAGAAGTTCTTAAAAATATTGAAACATATTTGCAGGAAGAGGAAAAAAGAATGATAAAACTGAACTCTGAATGTAAGTTTTTAAATTTATTGATATTAATATCTTAGTGGTAATCAAAATAACATGTAAATGCAGTTAAGTATAAATATTTCATAATTTTTTTTTCAACTATTGTGTATATTACTTTTTTTTATTTACTAATTTTTTGATGATTAACTTTCAATATTTTTTTATGTGCTAAAGTAACGAAATCTGTTTTATTGTATAAATTTTGAATTCTGATACTTCTTGATTAATTCTTATAATAAATGATGTTTAAATAATATTGTTTAATGTTAGGGCATACAAGAGGAAAGCAGGAAGATTTGAAAGAGATGTGTGACGTCTCATCTGGAATGGCGAGTACAGTTATTCAAGCTTACCTTAATCAGATATTACAATCACTACTTACTGATAATGTACAAATTAGAAAAGCTTCAATACAAGTTATTAAGTTAATATTACATCAAGGTTTAGTGTGTCCTTTAAATGTAAGTATTATATTATAATGTTTTGTGAAATATGTTGATTCATTTATTTTATACATTGCCTTTTATCTTTGCAGATAGTTCCTTATTTAATTTGTTTAAGTACTGATACAGAAAAAATGGTCTGTCATACAGCAGATAATCAGCTGCAAGATATTCATAAAAAGTACCTTGGTTTTGTACATATGAAAGCAAACGATGGCATTACTCTTTCATACAAACTTCAGTCTATAATTCAACATAATGAAGATCAAATTATTCGAGGATATAGGTAAAGAAAATAAATACATTTATTTGAATACAAAGTAATTTTATATTAGCCATAATGTCAATTAAAATCCATAAATCATCAAATAAAATATTATATAAGTAGTATCTATTTGTTGGTTAGCTTCAATTAATGTTCTTTTTGTTAATTCACTTTCTGTCATAGTATCCAATCAATATTCTATATCATATGATTTTGTATTTTGATAGCTTCATTTTTGACCAAATTATAATTTTTATCGTAAATATAAATCATATTATTGATTTCTCAATTTTTTATTCTTGTTTATTTATTATATTATAGTATTTTTAGTTCAATTCAATTATTGAATGAATAAATATATATAATTTTTATTCGAAGGCATACAGCTGTAAAGGGAGAAGCACCAGTAGCATTGAACGGTTTTCTGTACACTTTACTTAGGAGTACTAAACCTCAAAGGCGAGGTATTCTTATGTCTATATTGAAACAATTTGAGGAAAAGGTTTGTTATATATTTTTAATTTACAAAATAATTGTTTTCATATAGATATGTATTATCTTTAACGCACTATAAATAGGGCAGGTAAAAATACCCGCATCGAACATATTTTATGTAAGGGGCCGTTCAAGTATTACGTAAGCACTATAGGGGGGCGGGAGGGTTGTTGATTTGCTTATTTTGGGTTGACATGGGGGGCAGGGGAGTCTGGATGATGATTACGTCATAGGTAGTATTTTTATTTTTTTACATTAATTGCAAAATGTTTATGTAAGCATTTGGTAGGGGGTAAGAGCTTTGCTGGTAAATAATTGTAATAAATCTGCTTACGTAATACTTGAACGATCCCTAACACACTCCTATATGAAATGCAATCTGAATATTTTGTTAAACTTTAATATTTTGTTTTGAGAATTTTTAAAAAAGTGTGTTGGAAATCTATATTTTTTTTTTTTTTTCGATTAAGATTAAAAATTTTGGTTTATTTGGCTACATGCTCATAGTGTTAAAATATATTGCTTTACTATGCGGTATAATTTTAAGTAATACTGAAAATTTTAATATGCATAATTTTTTTTCAAACATAAATTACATCAAAAATATTCAATAACTTCTTATTCATAAATAACACTTCTTTTTTGTTTTTGTTTATATAAAATGATAACATATCAATACAATGATTGTAACTTCATATATTTTTTAAATTTTTAAATAAAATTTGAAAATAAATTTAAGAAAGGGTTTTTATATTTTTGTGTGAACTAATGATATATTAATATTATTGGTTATAATAATTATGATAACTTAATAATTATTGTGACTGCTTGACACTAAATATTAATATTGATCAATGTGATTTATATTGAATAAAATACTTGTTTTACTTTTAGAATTCTGTTTTGTAATCACCGTAAGATTGAGTACAGGCTATTGTATATAATTTATCTCATATTTTAAATATTAAAATATATGTTGTTTTAAATTATATTATATATGCATATATATGTATGTATATGTATATGCTTAATTCAATTTTTTATTTTTTTCAGGACAAGTCCCTATCCAACATGTTGTACCTTGCCGATAATTTAGCTTACTTTCCATATCAAGTGCAAGATGAACCATTGTTTGTCATTCATCAAATTAACATAAATATGTCATTAAATGGCTCATCATTAATAACCGCCTTCCATAAGTCATTGAATCCAGTGCAAGGTGTGGGAGGTGTTGTAGAAAAGTCGGATATTTTAAATGATGAAGATGAAGATCATAATGTTGATGAGCTATTACAAAGAATGCCAGAGGATACAACGCACCTTCAAAATTTAATAACTGCTGCACAAGGATGTTTGTTATTACTATTTCTAAGGGATTATTTAAAGACTGTCTATGGCTTTAGTGATAGGTTTGTAATGTGACTTTTAAGTTTGAACTGAGTAGCAAATATTAACTGTTACTATTAAAATAAGGTTTTTGAATATTATTTACGCTTGTGCAAATCTTACAACAAATTTAGTCTTTTATTATTGCTGAACTATTAAAATATTAAATAGTTATAAATATATATAAAATATATATTTAAAATATAGCGAATTGCTAAATAAAAAAATAATTAAATTATTACTATATTAGTTCTTTAAAGAACATATTTTTCAATGATTTCACACTTTAATTCAAGAGATATGGTTCATTTGTTTGGAACCAAGATTATAAACGTAATATATTAACGGTATAAGAAGTATATAACACCACTTACATTCACTATGAACATAAATAATTTCTTGTTGTATATAGTGAACAAGTGTAATGGAAGTTATTAATGTAATTAATTGAAATTTTTAACTATAGATAATTGACTTTAAATATTTGTATGTGACTTCACATACGAAAATTTTTGTTAAAAATTATATTCAATAAATCTGTTGCATTCACACTCCTATAAGTTTACGTTACGCCTTTCACTCGCACGATCTCGAATACGCTTGGAGTGATTTTTTGCTTTGTGATACAAGGGACATCACTTCTTTGGCGGGTCGTATCACGAATTTTGCTCGTATAAAAAAGCAAACGAGCCGCCTCTTCGGCTATAGTAGTTGACCTGACAGACCTTGTTTATCCATAAAAAATATTTCTAGAACAATTTTAGTAATTGCGTTGCAACATCCTGGAGCATATTGACAGTCATTGCATGTGGCTGATTTCTAATGCCTAATCTGAAACTGATTTCATTTAAATTTGATTGGCATATTTTGATGTTGAGGATTTTCATATATTATTACTGAGATTTTTATTACTTCACGAAATTTTGAATTGCGGAGCAAAACCCAAACATTCATTTTCATTTCATTCATTTTTAAATTATGCTGTAGTATGCCTACCGAATTGAGTCACATTTCAAAAAGTTTGCGATAGTTTGGTATGCACCTAGTTTCTTCTCAAAAACTATTGTACAATGGGATAAAGCTACGAATTTGACGCATCTAGTTTCATCACTGGTAACCTTTCCGTCACCAGTATCTAAGAAATGTTTCAAAATGTTTCAGCGAATAGAGCTGATCAATTTAAGCTTTTCCATGAGTTCAGAAAAATCTTGATCAAAAATCAGTGAAAAACGTTCATAAAAAAGACGATTATTGAGCTAGATGAAAAATGATATGACCATTATGAAATAAGAATTTGTGGCAGAAGGTTGAAAGTTTGTTTCAGTTGTATTTTCCAATTCCGCATCATAAAAATTAGAGTAATGAAAACTGATCCCAAAATTTAAAAAAGTTTTAGAGTTGGACAACTCTTGATGAGATTAAATGTTTTTTTTTTTCAAACTAAAATTTTTAGAATATGTTAATTACAATTCAGTGCAAAACATTCACTGACTGAAAGCGGGATGCAAAACTATTTAGTTTCTAAAATGACGATTACGAAATATGGATTTCTTTTGTGGGTAAAAATTTATGTCCGTATGTGATTTTTAGTTATGAATTATAACAAAATAAAAAAAGGAAGTTGGTTGAAAAACTGGAAAAAAAATCTTAAGTATGGTCAACCTTCTACTTCGGAGTATGCAAAATTGATCTTGTCTGTTTCACAGTCATATTGAATGTGATTTTAAAATTTCATAAGTCAGTCCAACGGAGGAGTATTGCGACGGGCAATATGACACGAAAATTTTATATACATATATATATATATATATATATATATATATATATATCCCCTTTATATAACAACTTATCATATCCCCTCCAAATACATTGATATTTATTAGGCTTGCACCGAATATTCGGTTACTATTCGGTATTCGGCACCTTTTTTAATATTCGGCACCTTTTTTAATATTTTAAATGTTAAAATCTTTTAATAATTGAAAATTTTATTCATGTTTTAGCAAACTGGTGCAGTACTCACCTTCAGAGGCATCTAAAATGTATGAAAAGGCTGTGAATAGAAAAAGTGTTTCAAAATTTAATCCCACGAATACAATAAAGAAATTGAAAGAAGCATCATCACAAATATTAAGTCTTGAGGATCGAAAGCAACTTATAGAAGAATTCTTATTTGTAAGTATCTATCTATTTGTCTATCTGTTGGAGTGAGTGCAATAATTCTATATCTATATGAATCGACAGTAATGATCATTTTTGACTTTGAAATGTGATGAATTCTGTATTCCATCAGCACAAGTAGATTGTTTTTTTTTATTATTCTTAATTGTCATTCTTTGCACCTTTCCTAAACGACTGGATCAGTCTTTGCCAAAACGCGCCTCGGCAATAGAAATTCTATGTTTTTTCAATCATTCAAATCGGTTGATTCGTGCTCCCGCAATCAGCGACAAAAGATTGCATCCGCACATACACATATACAGGGTGGCTGATATGTAATGCAACAAAGTAAAGCGCTATAACTTTCTCATTTTCATTTTAAATTTCATTGTTCAAAAGCAAAAATATTGGAAATAACATCAAATTTTAGAATCAGTTTAGATTTGTTCTAATTGGCCACCTTTGGCACGAATTATGGCCTTCAAACGGCAGAAGAACTATAACACGCTGCACGAAAGTGGCTCTGGGGTATTTTGGCCCATTCCCGGCGAGGCGCCTTCTTGGGATGATCGACACTTTAGTATTTTTTAGTGCAAACCTCTTTTTCAAGCCATTTTCGGTAGACGCGTGCTGAGTTTGATGGTGCTGAGTCCTGTTGGAATGTCCATGGTCTGAGGCCAAAATTTTTGTCTACCCAGGACTTCAATACTGCCTTTAAGACATTTTCCCGATAATTTCGGCAATTATTTTGATTCCGCGGTCGATGAATAAGAGCGGAATGTCACCATCGGCCATTACGGTGGTTCACACCATTACCGTCGGCGGCGCTTGAGTTCTGGTGGCCAATCGAAGAGTAGAAGTAAACCCTATCATTTTGTTTGTTCACAAACTGCTCGATTTGGAATGACTTCCCATCTGAGAAAACCAAATTAGGTAACTAGCCACTTTCGTGCAAGCGAAGCAACCCCTTGGCTCTTTCCCGTCTAACTTTTTTTTGTGTATCGATGAGCTCTTGCACTTTTTGGAACTTCAATGGCTTTAGTCCAAGCTCATTTTTCAATGTGTGTTGCATCCGTTTTTGCGATATGTTCAGCTCACGAGCCATTTTTTTACCACTGTGACACGAATTTCGACCGATTTTTGCCTAGACTTTTTGGATCATTTCTGGTGTTGTTCGTGTTTTTTTTCGTCCACTTTTTGGACGCGGTGCAACACTGAGTGTATCACGGTTACGAGATATTGTACGAGAAACAGAATATTTGTTCGCATTTAAATGCTGGAGGGCTCTAAAGATAGCCACTTAAGGTTTTTCAGCCAAATATGAAGCAATTGGCTTCCATCACGAATAACTTTTTTTCTGAATGCAATAGATCAAAATGCTTTTGTATGCTTGTAAACAACTAAATGAACAACCACTGGAATAAATCTGTCATGATGAGCGGTTTAGAAATGATAGCGGTCTGAAATTGGTTGCAATACATATCAGCCACCCTGTATATACACCTCACATAGATGAATTTATTCTAAAGTATGCCAAAATGTTCAGAAGGTTTTGAAACATAGATATCCGAAAACTTTTATTTCCGATTTTTTTATGATTACTATATTGGCTACCCAAAGAGAAGTTATAAATTTTTACATATAAATATGTATTTATATGTAAAAATATAGTTGAAAATAAATATTTAGAAATTGCTAATTAATATTTGTTTCAGTTCAAACAGAAAATGATACAGCAAGATGAAAATTCTGAAGACGAAGATAAAGATAACACTAAAGTGAATGGAATAAATACTAGTGGGTCAGGTGAAACTCAATTAAAAGTTCCAGTAGCTAATAGTGAAACAGTAGAAAACGACACAAGCAACATTGCAACAAATTCCCTGCCTACTAATGTTGATATTAGTGAAAATGCACATGTGCAACCAATAAATGCTGATATGCAAGATCCCTTAGCACAAGAAATATCACCAAGTAAAAAAGTAAGTCACAAACATGTAAATTATTGTTGAATATAAAATGTTTAAAAATACCTATATACAAATATCTATATATACGTGATACCATCCTATTTCGATGTTGCAGAGAATTTTAATATTCTTTAATATAATCACTTGACATACAAATAAAATGCGTATCGACGTGTCCGTAGGATAAAAATTAATTAGCTGATTCAGGAACACTTATATTTAAGTTCAGGAAAGGAACAATCAATTAATAAATATCATGAAATAATAATTTAATGATTGATTCTTGATATTTGCTGATACGATTTTGTTACCGGTATTTTTGAGACAAGGAGGGTATGCAGACAAAAGATTCTAAACAAAACAGCATCGATATTATGAACGAAATGGATAATCTGATAATAAACTGCTTGGTTTTAGCCAAAGACACTTCTTGATGTCGTCGAAGCCTACAATGGCACGTAAAATGGATTCGTCTCAGAGTCATCATTGTATGTCAAGTGGTTAAACAATATGAAAATACGGATATATAATCTTTAACTAATTTGTTTGCACAGAGTTCTGCAAATATTTAATCCTAATATTAATGCCTTCTAATTTTTATTTTTCTTGTGAATTTATTCTATTTTATAGTATGATTTATAGAAATTTAATATTCAAATATTTTAAACATTTGCTCTTGTTTGACAGAAAGTTCCACCACTTCGAATTAGTACAAATCGTAAATATAACACAAAAGTCAAAACCCCGTCACGTAACAAATCCTCAGATAAACAAAAAAAGCATCGACAAAAGAAAAAACGAAGAAGATATATGTCAAGTGATGACGAAAGTGATTCCACAAGTGGCTCAGATTATTACGTGTAAATACCTATATTGAGAGATCAATGTGTAAATCTGGTGTATAAGCATATTATTTATTGGATAAGTATTTTTTTTATTTTTGTAATTTATTGATAGTGTTATGTGCGTTTGCATATGTGGGTTGAGTGAGTGAATGAGTTTGTAGATATTTAACAAATAGTATGCGTATATGTGTTTGCAAGTATTGCATGCATGCACACAAGAATATTATGTGTGCATGTTTGTCAATTCATATTTTGCGTTTTTATTTTAAGATTACTATATTGAATTTACACATAACTTCAAGTAATTAGCAATACACAAAAGAGTTATGTGAGAATATGTTCAAATTTAGATTTATATAATATATATACATACATACATACATATATATATATATATATATATATATATATGTATATATATAAATAATATATAATTAAAGGTTATTAAAGAGGACATATGCTTACAGTTCATTGTAGAACATGTTTAAGTAAGCTTTCATATAAAAAAGTGGTCCACATTAAAACAAACTTCCTTCCTAATGTGTATCAAAGAAAATGTACATATTATTTATTAAAAAATAGATGTCACTTAATGACCAATTGTAGCTAAATTTCACAAAGGCAAGCATTTTTTAAAAACACCTTTTCAATATGTTACAAATATTTTAAGTATTTTTTTTTTTATTATTATTAACTAAAACAAAATAAAACCCAGTTTCGATTTTAGCTTATTTCTAATATTATATTCTGACTCCGCTAAAGATATTGTATTAAAATATAAGTCTAATATTTATTCTTCGTTTGTTTTAAATTATTTTATAATATATAAATATATAATGAGTTTATTTGCTTAACTCAGGAAACCATGAGCAACACACTTCATATTGCATTTTTTTGATTTCCAAATTATTTATCAAAAATTCAATATTTTTTGACCTTATATTATTGCTATTGTACATATGTTGAATAATTGTAAATTAATATCAAAAAAATTATTAAAAAAAAATATAAAAAGGTAAACACAAATTATATATATATATATATATATATATATATATATATATATATATATATATATATATATATATATATATATATATATGATTTAGTAGTTAATTTTGATGTTGAAATATATGAGTGAGTTCTGGAGGGCGATCAAACAAAGAAAGGGCAAAGATTTATAAAATAATCTTTAATTCCAAACGTTTCCACATACAGTTTGATGTCATCATCAGTGGATATTGAACATGGTATTTTATATCTAAAAATGTGTACACATCACAGAATTTTGCACTAACATTGATACAACTAACCAGTCGATAATCATGAATTTTTTTTTAATAAGAAAAATAATGAGTTTTGTTTTGCAAAACTGTGGAAAAAATTTAAGTATTTTTGCACAGAATGGAGGCAATGTAATAGCTGTGAATTCCGAGACAAGTCTCTTTTTCCTTATTAAAAAATTTCATGATTATTGACTGGTTAGTTGTATCAATGTTAATGCAAAATTCTGTGATGTGTACACATTTTTAGATATAAAATATCATGTTCAATATCCACTGATGATGACATCAAATTGTATGTGGAAATGTTTGGAATTAAATGTAATTTTATAAATCTTTGCCCTTTCTTTGTTTGATGTATCGCCCTCAAGAACTCACTCATATATATGTATATATGTATATATACAGGGGGTCCCAGAACTTAACATCTAGCCGACACTGAGTGATAGTATTGGTCTTAAATGTCCTGAAAAAAATTTACAAAAAAAATTATATCACATTGTTTGGAAATCACAAGCTTTCAAGTGCAACCTTTGGTAAAATTACGCTCACATTTCGGTTATTGTGGTTATTTTTTGTTAATTTTGTTCATTTAAACTTTGGAACCGGAACCAAAAATATCATTTCCGAGACTGTAGTAAAAAATTATAACTATATAAAATATAACAATTGTGTGTTAATTTTGTCTGTGGTCCAAGAAATGTTATTTATGATTACCATTTCAAAGTTTAAATGAACAAAAATAATAAAGTTAACCACAATAACCGAAAAGTGTTCATAATTTTACCAAAGCTCTAGATTATACTTAAAAGCTCATAAATTTCCAAACGACTTGAGATAATTTTTTTTTTTTCCAAATTTTTTCAGGACACTTAATGTTAATACTATAAACTATTTCAGCGAATTTGTACATATTTTCATTATTTATATATTTCACAAGGACACTTTTACTTATAAATTAACTGAACTGTCCTTTCTTGTTGTTTCATCAACATTATAAAAATTAATAATTCTATTAGAACATAAAATTGAAACCATTGAATCTCTAAACCAGTACCAGTGAATAATTTTTATTAGCCATTAATTCATATACATGTTAAAAATCTATTTAATAATTAATTATTCTGTTAATCCTAATTATATTATTAATTTAACAAACAAATGTCTGTTTGGGACTATACACAGTTTAATGAGTTATTAGGAAACCAAAAATCAACAGAAATTGTACAAAAGTTTTTAAAATAATTATTTATATGCATATAATACTGCATATCTAATAGGCTAAAATATTATTATTTTTTAAATTTATTTTTTTGGTTTATCAATAAAGTTTTTTGTTTCAAAATATCATGAAACACAAACAATATGATAACGTTATTAGTGCACATTAAATTCTCTGAGTAAAATATAGTCTTTATTAATGTGGTTTGTGATAGACAATTCTAAAAAAAATACAGAACATAAATTTTTCAAAATGGTCCTTAAAATGGTCATTTTTTAATTTCCTTGCTCTCAGGGGCTCAAATAGTTCCAAATAGATAAAAAACAATTCTCTGAAAGTTTTAGCTCTTAATATTAGCGTTTAGATAGTGCGCAATTCAATCAAATTTCGTATGGAAAGAGCATGGAAAAAATTTTGATAATTAAAAAAAAAATGTTTTAGGTATAACTTAGCGACAAATGAATGAGTTTAATTCGTTCATCTGTTTGCTAAATTACATCTAAAAAACATTTTTAAAATTTTTCCATGCTATTTCCATACAAAACAAAAACTTAAATTGAAATGCGCTTTATCTAATTGTTAATATTAAGAGATAAAACTTTCAGAGAATTGTTTTTTATCTATTTGGAACCATTTGAGCCCCTGGGAGCAAAATGACCATTTTAAGGACCACCCTAATATACATATATATATATATATATATATATATATATATATATATTTAAAAGTAGTTAAATTTGATGTTGAAATGCATGACAAAATTCTTGGAGGGCGGAACATTAAGTTTAAAAAATATTAAGGATTTTTAAAACATTTTTATTATTCCATACGTTCTGCAGCATCATCAGATTCAGAATTTGAATTGTAAACAGAAAAATGCATAATTAAAAACTAAATACGAAATTCCTCTGATGATAACGTAGAATATTATGGTGAAATGTATAAAATAATAAAAATTTCCACATCATTTTTTTTATTTTATGTTTATGCCTCCAAGAATTACTTATATTAGGGCGGGTCGATTTGTATGGGTAAAAAAAAGGTCACATACACACATATAATTTTCGTACAATAGGTATCAAAATAAGATACTTTGCCGAAGAAACTATATCTCTAAAATGAATTCTGATGTCCTGTGCATTCACCCAAAGATTGGGTCTAATTTTTTGTATGGAAGACCTCTGAGGGGATGTTTCAGGGGGTGAACCATGGTTGGATCGACCTTCTAAAGTTAGTTAGGGTTTGTCATACATTTGGACGCGATTGGAGCACTCCAAATGGGTTAAAACGAAATTTTTCAAAATTCAACACCTATCTTTGTGTCAATGCACGGGACATCAGAATTCATTTTAGAGGTATCGTTTCTTTAGGAAAGTATCTTATTTTGACCCCTAGTATCCGAAAATCATATGAGCCTAAGCGACTTAAATCGACCCGCCCTAATATATATACATATGTACAGTAGACTGTCACTAATCTGACAATATTAAAAACCGGAGGATGCCGGAGTACTGGAGTATAGTGAATCATAATTTTTAACATTTGATATTGGAGATGATGTTAAAATTTCCATAAAATTCGGTCGCGAGGGTGTAGGTCTATCGAAGTGTCGGATAACTTATAGTCTACTGTATATATATATATATATATATATATATATATATATATATATATTAACAAAGTCTAATAATCGGGTATAATATCAATTAAAAAAAAAATACTTTAAAATAATTATTTTACAATCTATACATTTTGTCTATAATCCTAGCCTTCATTTAGTGGTGACTAAAATAAAATTTGAAATCTAAAACAATTGAGATAAAAAAATTATAGAATATAAAAATGTACTTACAATTTGTTAATCACAGTATTAAAAACAGAAAAACTGTATAAAACAAAGATTAATAACTTCTAAGTTAATTAGACTTTGTTAATACATATGCCAACATCAAATTCAGAATTATACATTATATATATATATATATATATATATATATATATATATATAGATGCGTATATGTATGTATATATGTTTAATGGGTATAATTCAGTACAGAACTACTTGCATCTTTTTTAGGATGTCTTTTGCCACACATTCTGCGGAACATCACTTGAGCAATAAATATTCATAATTTTGCGAATTCCTTGATTTTAAACAAGCGCAGACATAATGTATGTATATATGTATATATATATATATATATATATATATATACACATATACATACACTTGGATAAATGCATATGTATATATTATATGTACATAAATCAATAATTTTATTGTCAGAGTTACTTATCACAAATAAACTATAAATACTATAATGTTGTAACTCATGTATTTGTGATAAGGTCAAAAAATATTACATATATATATTTGTATCATATTGCTCTTACTTGTTAGTATAATAAGCAGATCTTTTGTATGACAAATATACTTAATTAAATATATGAGATTTTGTAGAAAATGTTCAGAATTAAACAATAAAATCCAGAGACTATATACATATTGCATTATATATATGAACTTGCACATACACACAAATGTGATTATTTATTAACATTAATTACAAAGACATTTTGCAAAAACAAATTTTTTTTTATTTAATGCGTAATTCGAAGTTGTGGCTTATTCCCTAAAAAATTATTTGAAAGGTTTCATAGATTGTATTAGCTTCATAGAACTGATTTGCATTTATATATATATGTTATAATTCATTCTGTTTTTCTAACTTCATACGATTCTATGTTGGTAAAATTGTTTGGTAGAATAGTTTTTTTATACTCATATATATAATAAAGTATTTCATTTTAATGCTGAAATATATGAGTAAGTTCTTCTAAGGCAATGCATCACATGAAAGGCAATGATTTAAGAATTGTTCATTAGTTATTCCATATGTTTCGACATGAGATTTGTCATCACCACTGGACATGGATATCGTGTCTTATATCAGTAGATGTGCGCAAAGCACTTACATTTAAACACTAACTTGCCTTTAATCAAGGGAATTTTGATGTTTTAATTGAGTAAAGAATAAAGCAGAGTTATAAAATATGAATCATTTAGATGAATTGCAGAATATTTTTGCTATAGTAAGTTGTAATTACGATTGGCTCAGGGCTTAATATCTTGAGATTTTCATTTACTCTATCTAAAATATAAAAATTCTGTTCGTTAAACTAACACTAAAAAAGATAATGTAAAGATTTTTAAAACATATTTATTATTCCATACATTTTAAAGTAAAATTCTAACAATCGTGTTTATATATTTTATTATTTAAATTCGTTATAGGCTTTCCATGTAGTCTAATAAGCAAATGCAAGGAAACAATGATGCTGTTGTATCTGTTCGCGCATCAGTCAACATCAGTCTGGAAGTAGTTCGCTCTCGCTTGAGTAACTCGAATGACTTTATTGATTCGGGTAGCTTGCATGAATTACAATTCTTTTTTTTATATTAATTAAAATATGTTTATTATGTTTATTAAAATTTATGTTAATACAGATTGCATCAAAGTAAATATTTCTCGGCTTGATACGAGTCGAGTCGAATCAAGTAAAATGTGATTCGAATCAGGTTGTTTAGGGCTGGACTCGAATGATTCAAATAACTTGATTCGAGTTGGCACTCACTAATACATACATACATATGCGTATATATATATATATATATATATATATATATATATATATATATATATACAGGCAGAACAACTGTGGGATGTCGCAGTGAAGGGCAGATGGACGCATCGTCTCATTCCAAACATCAATGTCTGTGAATTATTACACTACGCAAATGCTATCTGGGCACGGCTGTTTTCGAGCCTATTTACACCGCTTCAAGCACGGTAGCTCGCCGGATTGCCTATATTGTTTGGGCGAAATAGAAGATGCTGAGCACGTGTTCTTCGTGTGCCCGTAATTTAGTGCTCTGCGGGACGATGTAGAAGATTGGGGCGAAGTATTACTCCAGATTCTATTGTTGAAGTGACAGATTTGCGAGAGATGTGTTAATTGTCCTGCGTTCTATGGAAAGAGAAAGGGCAAATAGGACTTCGCACAATTAAAAGCTAAGTATAAATCAACGTAAGAATTTTAACATTCTAGTTAGCCCCCCCCCCCACGAAATAATGCCTAACGGCGGTTTCCGTGGGGACCAGAGGCAAGGGCAAAGCGGAGGTTTTAGTCGGTATTATACCAGGGCGGTATTGAGTCCGACAAAACACCAGCCTGGGGTGCATAAAGGCATTTTCTCTGCTATACAAAAAGAAAAAAAAGAAAACACACACACATACATCCATTTTTTGCTAGTATGCTAAATTGTTCAGAAACTTCTGAAACGTAAATAAAAATTTTCATTTTTGATTTTTTGTGATTACTACTATAACCATAGATAAAAGAAGAGTATATAATGACTATAACTTACCCTACGGGAAGTTAAATATTTAGGGTTATGTAAAATGATTATTTATATCACAAATGTTTTCCTGTAATATATAATTATTTTAGTTATGTCATATACATACATGCATATATATATATATATATATATATATAAGTTTGCGTTGCTTTAGAATACTTCTGAAAAGTATTTCTTATCCTCTATATATAAATCAGCAAAGGAAAGCATAAGTACAAAAAAAAAAGAATTCTATACCAACATTAGCCTCTTATCATAAAGCAAGAAATGCAAGCACCATAGACAAACCACTTTTTGCTAACCACAGTTAATATGAAATATGAAAAAATGAAAAAAATCATATCGTTATATATTATATTATATATATATACATACACACAAAGAAATATATATATAATTGTTGGCACAAATATTGCAGTAGTTGTCTCACTGCTTATTACATTATAAAATATCCCCTAATAAATGATAAAATTTGTGGATGTAGATAACTCATTTTGAACAGAAAAATCATTATTATTTAGCCATTTAAAACTTTTCCTCATACTGCAAAAATATTTCGGCTTGAAATGTTAAATTATTTTTAATTTACTTAATAAAATATTTAATATTAGTTCTGTCAATACTTCAACACTTTCTCTTTAAAGGCGCGATCGATTTACGTTTTAAAATAGATTAAAATTAATTACATGTAAAAACTTAATTTAAAATAAATATAGTTAGTGCAAATATTATTATGAAGTGCTATTTCAATTATTTAATTTTCAGGACTGTTTATAAGTCCCTGGTCTCTAAGATTTATAATTGAGTTGGCAATTATTTTAGCAGTTTTCTTCAAATAACCACCGCTTGTCAGCATTACTATCGGGATCGGATTTTTATTGTGTCGTGCTTTTTTAAACATGAATTCATCACGTTTAATAATACCCTGAAACAAAAAAAATATGATTAATCTGATCACTAGTTGCATTGGATTAAGGCACAGTGTTTTTTTATTTTATTGCTGTTGATTTTAAATATTTTTCATTTAGTAATTTTCCACTGAGAATGATTTCTATTATAATTTTTTACTGTGTAATAATCAGCACAATTTATAGACCTCAATCACAACTTGAAGAGAGTATAAAAACATCAGTGATATTGATATTAAAATTATTATTAATTAAACCTCTTGTGTGACTGATAGCAATCCAAGACTATCTCCTTCTAAGACATCGGTTCCAGCAATAAACACAATGAGATCAGGATTAAATTCAGACAATGCTTCCTCCATGTGACTAAAAATAACAATATATGCTGAATATTCAAATAAATTTTGTAGTATTTATTATATATATATATATATATATATATATATATATATATATATATATATATATACAACTGCATGAGTGTGAATAATACATACTATTCAAGCTTATTCAAGTATATATTATCCTTTGTAAATGGCTTCAACTCCACTAATCTAGTTATTGCCTGTTTAGCAAGATTATCCTTGGGATATATTTCAGAATTAAACATGTCTAATATATAAATTTGATTATCATTCAAGAAATCTCTCTGGTAACCATTACCCTGAATAATAATTTATAACATAGTTCAAATATATGTTATGCAATTTCTGAATCATTAAAGAAATTGTACCGTGCATACACAGGCGAATCGGTATTTTTATATGCATTCATGGATTTTGGAAGAAGGTCCTGATTCAATTATATTTGAAAAATGCCTAATAGTGTAAGAAATACAGATTTCACCTTTAACACTATATAATTTTTCTATGATTCACTAGTGTGTGTGCTGGGTATTAAAATACCAATTGCAAAACACTATTTTTCATCAATGGTAGTGTTTGTTCTGTCAAGTTATTCTCAAAACTTGTGAACAATCTGCAATATAAGAAAGATTTACATTCTAATTATTGAAAAGCTAGCAACAAAAAAAGCCTCCTCATGAATAACCGATACAATAAAGGAAGACTATAATTTTAGTCTTTTATTTTTCAAAAAAAAGTACCAGTATTGAATAATTTAGAAAAGAAAAGATAAATCACTAATATTTTTTTAAACATTCTTTAAAAAAAGTTAAAATATACCAATAAAAGTTGGAATATTTTTCGATTGTGATATATAATTATATTAAAACTGTCCTGAAGCCAGTTCTTTGTGTGGTCTTTATGTCAGCCTATGTAATTATTATCATTAATTAATTAATTAAGCTGACAAAATATTTTTTTATATTAAAGCTTTTTTGGAAGGAGCTGGATATTATCTCAGTCTATAAATATATTTTTAGATACAGCACATCAGTATTATTGTTATCGCTTATGATATTCAAGGTACAATTAAAACTTCTATATCAAGCACTTCATTATTGTGATTTTAGATGTTAAATAGTAGCCCAATACGTACTAGTTTTAATTATATGTTGCTAACTTTCTACTTGTTAATTAAAAACTTTAATATTTTTCAAAATGATGTTTGTTAGTGTCGTGCAGTTGGTTAAGCTTTAATCTTTTAAAATTCAATTACATCACCTGGTGAGCATCAAGATCTACTATCATAACTTTTTTCACACCGAGTTGTTTGTCCCTTAAGGCATGTTTAATTAATAATGTTACATCGGCATATGGACAAAATCCACCACCACGATCACTGCTGCAATGATGAAAACCGCCTCCTATGTTAATGGCCCAACCTTGTTGGCAAGCTAACTTTGCAGCCATTATACTGCCACCAGTTTGTAACCTATTGATGAGAATAGATGTTAGTCACAAACATAAAAAACTACCAGGCATTGCCATAAATAAAATTCAAATTCAAATAAGTGCATAATAATTAGTGGGGAATAAAATAAAGGGCAAATTGGGCAAGTGTTACTCAACATAAGCACTTTGTTGAAAATTCAGAAACAACTATTGATCATATAATTATGTTATATTACCTCATTGGACGCAAATATCCTGATTGGACTAAACAGTTTGGAACAAACATTAAGAGGGGCACCTCTGCAATACGTGAGACAGTTAAGCTTGACTGGAATTTATAACAAGTACTTTGATTATTAGTTAATATTTCGCAAGTATTAAATCATCTTGAAACTATTTCATGATATGAAACAAAATTGTTTTTCAATTCAATAGGCTTCGTTGAGTATATAAAAAGACAATTTATATATATATATATATATATATATATATATATTTACCTTGAGTTTTCTTAAGTATCGTTTGGTATGAACGAGTAACAAGTCAGACTTACTAGCTTCATTAGGTCTGATGACAGAATCCTTGTTAATCATTCCTGAATCTATGAGATACTAAAATAATACTAATGAAATAAATCATATGCATATAATTACAATGTTGATTTTTAGTAACATAATTACTTTTATGATGTTTGACCATTTTGAAGCGTCAAATGGGTGGAGTTTTTCTAAGCCCATGAAATGAACATTATAACCTTCGTGGTATATTATAGGCCATTGATGTTTTTTTATAATAGTGGACGAATTTGAATGCGAATCCAACATATTGTATCACATTTATTTAATAAGAATTAATGATTACATATGTAACACTTTTGGCATTTTAATTCGAATAAGAAAGTCGACTAGATACAGCTGAAAATTATTAAACGGTATATTTTTTAAATTTAATTTTGCGTAAACAAAAATACGTACTTGCTTTATGAAGATTTAAAACTTTGAATAATTCTGTCATTAAACTATTTAATAATCAGTTCGATTAATATAACAGCGAACATATGACTTCACTTAAGGTTGAATTTATAAGTTTTTTTTTGAATATTAATACATTTTAAAGATTTGAATTTGTCATTTCTGTGCAAATAAGGCGAGTCAAACTATTGCGACGCGAGACGCGACATTTAATGGCGTCGCCATCTTACATCGACACTACAGATTAAATAATTCAATTATTGGCTTGATGTTGTTGTTTATATTTTTGTTCATTTATTTAGAAAGTTTAAAAAATTAGGACTTTACTCGTATGTACTTTAATAATGCAAATTTAAATCAGTATACATTAATTGTAGGAACTTATTTGATAAGAAATTGTTAGATGAGCTAGGAGCTAGGGATGGTGCATCTGGATATACTTTTATATCCTTGATTTTATATACTCCGGAATGGATTGCAATAAAAACATAAATAATACTAATAAGTGAAGGTTCTGTGAAAAATACCTCTTTCCAAAAATAAATTCACGTCTTTTAAATTAAATTTTTTTGCCTATTCATAAAAGTGACAGTTAATATTCGAAATTTGTAAAGGTGGTTAAGGCGTTCACAACTAAAGGTGCGCCACACCTAACGAACGAACACGAAGGAACATGTCGAACAAGAAAATACAAAGGAGAACGAGCAGGAACACGAACGAACGCAAATAATTCCAAACAAACGCCTCAAAGCAGTGAAGGCTTGAATCTTTTTGTTCGAGGATGTACCGCGAAACGTCAGATTTATTATTTAAAGTGGCGGGAAAGAGCAAAATTATTTTAAAGTCATCAAATTTACAAAATTTGTCAATAACAGCAATATCTTATAATAAACACAACATAAACTGATGCAGGATTGCATATTTTAACATCAAAAAAGAAAAATGTTTGTCTATATTCGTGGTAGCGTCCACACTGCACATACGAGTTCAAACATGAACGAACAATTCCCTTTGATGTACCGACAAGTTGCGGAACATTGCTCGCCATGTTTGTTTATGTTCGTTCGTGATCGTTGTGGCGTTCACACTATGCGGTTGCCGTTCGTTCTGGTACGTTCATTTATGTTCGTTGGTGTTCGTTCGTTAGGTGTGGCCCACCTTAACGAACGAACATGAACAAGCGAGAATTGCGTACCAGAACGAACGGCAACGAGCATAGTGTGGCGCCACAACGAACACGAACGAACACAAACAAACATGGCGAGCAATGTTCCGCAATTTGTCTGTACATGAAGGTGAAAGAAAATTGTTCGTTCATGTTTGAACTCGTATGTGCAGTGTGGACGCTACCACGAATATAGACAAACATTTTTCTTTTTTGATGTTAAAATATGCAATCCTGCATCAGTTTATGTTGTGTTTATTATAAGATATTACTGTGATTGACAAATTTTGTAAGTTTGATCACTTCTAATAATTTTTCCCTTTCCCTCTACTTTAAATAATAAAACTGACGTTTCACGGAACATTCTCGAACAAAGAAGATTCAAGCTTTCACTGTTTTGAAGCGTTTGTTCAAGTTCGTTTGGAATGACTCGCCTTCGTTCGTGTTCGTGTTTGTTTTTCTTTGTATTTTCTTGTTCGTCATGTTCATTCGCGCTCGTTCGTTAGGAGGCGCACCTTCAAGGTGCGTCAAGTTACATCAAACAGTTTTAAAATATTTGAAATCGATGAATCCGTTTAAAAAAACTTGACGAAACGTGACGAAAGTCAAATTTTGGCTCACACATGCAGGCATACTTTTTCCAATTTTGGTCTCAAATGATTCAGAATGCTTTGAAACGTTGAGAAAACATAAAATTAGCAAATCAGATTTTCTGGCAAAACATAATTCTCTTTCGGGAAGTGAATAACTAATATAGTAAAGAAAAAACACTAAACTGAATCGGGCAAATGCGGCGTCAGAATGGACCCGTAATAAATTGGCAAAGTGTAGAAAATTGGAAATTTGCAAGAGGACAAATGAACTTCACCTATCTAAAATATTCTTCTGGCGACTTGCTGTTCTGATCTCAGTCGAAGTTCTGATATAATGGGAATAAAAATTTAATGTAGCAACAATACCGTGCACATTATGCTTATTTATCTATGACCGTGGACGTAGAATAGTGAATTAAAATATGTGAAATGAATTTAGAGAACCCAATTTAGGTTCAGATAACAACAACTCAAAAATCATTCAATCAAAGTCAGGTGTTGGAATCAGTATGTAATCCCAAGGCGTCATTCCGAAGGAAAAGGTCCAAAAGATGAGAACTATAATTACATTGGGCATGCTGATGGTTCAGTAAATTGTACATTTAAATTCATTACACTGAATCATTTATATACAGTACATTTATACATTTTATTGTACAGTAATATTCAAAAGATTATATCAATTTTTTATGTCTGAATTAGATAACAAGTAAAACTGTAGGATTAAAAAATGACTTCTAACCATTCAGATTTTGAAAATTGACATATGTTAATGAAACATGCATTTTTTTAAAAATCTTGCTCTGGTAGTTCTTTGTCAAGCGAGTTTGGATGTTCCTTGAGGAGGCTTTTGTAATTGTTTGAATTTGTTTATATTTTATTGTTTATTATGTCGGCGTCTAACCAATTTGATACATACATTTGATACACTTTGTGGCATTCAAAATTTCTTTTAGTGATTTATATATGCATATTTGAATTTTTATTATGTTTGACTTGTGAAGCTCATCCCCATAGTTGTATACCGTATGTCTAAATTGGCTTAATAATAGCTTTGTAAAAGTAAATTTTGTTGCGAGTATCAAGTTTTGAACAACCAATATATATCAACAACCCTTAGGTAGTACTGCCCTAGGGGTGAGTTAAACTCCAACTCGATTCATGGAAGAATAGTTTGAGAGATTTCACATCGCAAGAAATGGGCTATTTCCATTTGGAAACATAAAGAATTACATTTTCAGGTAAAAATTGACATCGCTACTGCATATCAACTTTTATCATAATAAATTGGCGAAGGAAATAGAAATTGAAATAAGAAAGCATTGGAAAAGTTTTAGCAAATGAGGGCAGCATTATTCTCCTATCTATGAATGAAGGCTTCATAGATGAATATTTTGATTTATTCCAATTGTAATAAGTACAAATTGATAAAAATTGTATAACTGAAAAGGTGACAAAAAATTGAGGAATAGATACAAAAACATGCAACCAAAGGTACCTTCAAAACTTAAATAAATGCAAAAATTTTCGGACGATTACGATAACTTACCCTAAGGGAAGTTAAAAAAATTAAAAGCATCGAAAAGAATAAAATAGGTACAAGAAAGTATAAACAGAAAAGTTATGAAACAAGAAATAAAAATAAAGAAATTTTATAAAAGGTACATTTAAGACTGTAGGGTATTTCATAATTATAGAATTCTGAAACTTAATTACAAAATTTGATGTGAAAAAACTTTTACTAATTGAAATCAATACCGCCAATTTTTTTTTAGAATACCTCGTATTTGGCATTTCCTTTCTAAAATATTAATATTATTGCAAATTTTTTAAAATGTGAGTTTTAAAAATAAAAACATTATGGTTGCAGAAATTCATGAATAAAAATTTAGAAGTAACAGTTTTATTTTTTATTACTTATAAAACTATTTTTACTAGTCTATTTTGAAATTCTATTATCAATTTTCTTCAAGTTTTTGGCGTATGATATTGCATATTTATGCCATCTTGTGATAATATAAAATAATTCATAAGGATTATGTCGATTATCGATATTAGGTTTTAGTATTAAATATAAAAATTACATAACATCCGAAATGTGCTTAAAGGCACTCACAAAACTCGTGTTCAGTTTACCCGAGCCTACGTTCTGAAAATGTAAAAAAAACTTTTAGTGATTTTAACTGATTTTTATTCTAAATTTTGTATTTTATGACAATAAAATATTTTTTGGAGTACGTTTTTGTATTCCTGGAAAACAATTTGAATCGATTTTAACATTGGAAATGTATTTTATTATTTTTAATTGAATGGACTTATTAAACTACTACAACGAGCAAAAAAGGTAAGCCAATTTGTATTATGTTAAACACCACGTGTTTTAATGGGAATTGAACGTTATAATTTAAGACAAATGATTATTATTTATGGAAAATGTATAATGCTTTGCCAAACTTGCTAAAGTGGTTTACATTTAATTGGAGTACGATAAAATTATAAAAAAATATTGTTTTAGTTCTATTTTTATAGCATAACGCGACATTTGTTTTATCGGGTGTGAATTATATATAAGTTTTTAATTATTTTATAATTCCAGAAACAGTTATTACAGAAAAATGTAAAAAATATCATTCTGTGTATGCATTGTTCCTGAAGTATTAAACTTATATTAATTTTTCTTGATGTCGATTGCATAAATGTGCATTGGCGCATACGTACATTTTTATGATTTCGCGCATAATTCATCGTTGCCGAAAAAATACATTTATGCTTAAACATGCATACCTAATTATGTATTTTTGATTTTATTTTATTTAATTTCTAGCAATAATTATTATATTTTAGTCTATAATGCTTATAATTTAAGCTCATCATTTATTTTAATTTAACTTAAACTTTGGATGCTTCTTTCGACTTTTGACGCCAAAGAAGCCGTAATTGAATCAAAATGTTATTTTATTTATCTGCCGTTTTTCATAAGCATTTTGTTATAAATACAAGTTAAAAGTCTAAAATCCTCACTCATGATTTTGCAGAAATTAATGAAATTTCTATGTTGATAATTTATTGTGATTGAAGAATAAATACCAATACATTTTGAGTCAATCGGTCTGAATAAAGACCTATATTTAACATAACAAGTATGTGTATATATATATGTATATATATACATTTTCGGTAAATAATTCGTAAAATTTCTAATGCTATTTGTATTAGATTAATGATTTTCTGAAAGGCCCTGAAGAGTTTTAATGCATTTTAATATTTAACTTTGTTGAATAATTGTCAAAGTTTCAAATGTTTTAAAATATTACTAGATTACAATATCATTAACTACTATATTAAATTAATTCTCAACATATTTTATTCACAAATATTATATAATAGGTAAATACACTAAACATTGACTAAAACTCTAGCAATACATCTAGAGCAGTGCTCGACAATAGGTGGCTCAATTAGATTTTTCGTAGATATATAAACTTGCAACATTTATTATTTTTATATTAATCATAAATTACGTGTAATAGTTTATAATGTGATATATATATATATATATATATATATATATATAAATATATATATATATATAAATATTTGTTTTGAAAAGTATTAGTTGACGATTTAAGATATATATTTTTTTGTTTATTTAAATTATTTGAAAGATATCAATTGCTTCATATCAATGAGTACAAAACTTAGCAGCATAGTTTTTATTGTATCTATTACTTGTCTAAGTATTTGTCACTGAGTCTATAGTATTTGTACCAGACATGAAAAGATGAAAAAAAACAGCTAGTTTTCGTAAATTTTGTAAATAGTTCACAATTGTTAACCATTTTAAACCACTCCTCTGTAATGCATATAATAAAGTTCCAGAATATAATTTTTACATTTTTGATTATTTTTGTAATTTTGTTAACAAATAATAACAAAAATTCCATTTCAATCTTAAATTTTCCAAAATTTGACAATCTGGGAAAATATTTCTTGAAAAATTCGGCATTCAAAATGAAATTCGGATCATAGTCATATATTCATTTAATAATTATTCTAGATTTTTAACTGCTATAAAGTAAAAATCAAAATAGAAAAGATTGATGTAGTTCAATCCAATTTTACAATATTTACTATACTGCTGTAATTGACAAAATTAGCTTAATATTTTCATTATATATTTTGTTCTATTGTATTCCCTCCAGCAATTTTAAAATGGATATGGAAAAGAACGAATTTTCTTTTACTTTGGGTGCGCAGGAGACGCCGATGAAATCTCAACAATATCAACAATGCGATACCAGTTACCAGTTGTTCCCAAAGTTTGACGACTGGTACCGAAAGGACAATGTATCTGAAGCAGCTGTACTGTATGCAGCAAATGCATACTCTGACTGCTGTGATGTGAGTTCATATTATTATTCATATATAATATAAGTTCTTTAAATTCATTCTAAAATTATATTAAAAAATATAATTTTAGTTGAACTTGTATTTGTGTTCACCGACAACTAATGCGACAATTTTGAGTAGACAATCAAAAATATGTAATAGTCTTTGATCTCAATCATTGATATTGATTACAAAATTTATACTAATTTTGTATTTTGAACCCTTGACACCCTATAATTTTTTTTATTAAATTATTACATCACGGCCATAAGAAAAAAATTGTAAACATGTTCGTATAAATTAAATTTTATAATACTTAAATTGTATAAAATTTTTTAAAACCGATTTAAGAGTGTAGAAATACAATCACGTTTTTGAGAGAATGGAGCATCCAATTTGAATAATTCAAAAAACATTTCACTTGTATTGACGTAATGAAGAATTGATTAAATTTTTGGAAAGGCAGGTCCAGCATTTACGGAGATGCAACAAAAAATTTAAAAAAAATGAGATTTGGCGATCATGAACCGATATGAATGGGTATCACAAACTTTCAAGAAAATCCAAAATTTTCATTTTTTTGGTAAATTAGTTTTCAAAAATTATCCGAATCTTCAAGAATTGATTTTTTTTTAATTTTCAAAACCGGCATTTTTTTCAATTTTTCAATATTCAAATTCAAAATTCTTAAAGCATCAAATTGTTCTTTTCTGTGCTTTTTAAAATTACGGTACGGGAAATTCCAGCAATTGGGTTTAAGGCACGATGCCTTGACAACTAGTTAATAAAAATTGCCTTGATAACTAGTCAATAAAAATCTTATGATTGAAATGTGTTATATTTAAAATTTACAAATGAACAATTATTCCTCGATACAATTAGATTAACGGAATGACTAAAAAAAATTATACTAAAACATTGTTGGGGTTTTAGGGGATACAAAATTGTTGGGGTTTATAAAAACCAATATTAAATAGAATATCTTATATTGAGTATACGCAGTTGATATTAATTCCACTTTTTACATTGTATTTTTATTTAATGTTCTATATTTTATCTAAAATTAATTGCAGAATGGTTTACAAGAACTGTTAGTCAGGGCAGCTGATAATGGAAAGCGATCTGAAAATGGCAGTAAACGTTTTAAAGGTAATTCTAAATTTAATTTATTATAACACGGTATTATGTAGTCTAAACAGTTATATAGATATTTTAGATCATTCAGATGTACTAATATTCCATATATTTTGAATTTAATTTTAGTTAACGGAGATAAATGTTTGGCTGATGAAAATGGCTCGAGATTCACGAAAATTGCTTACCGTAATAATCGCACGAAACATCAAAACAAGTCGGTAAGTTAGATTTTGTTACTATTTTTTTAAATAAATATCATTAATTTTATATTTTGTTATTGCAGTTTTCGAAATTTTTGAATTTTGTATTTTTATTGTTATTTGACAATTAAGTTTTTATTTACAAGATAATTCCTACTGCGGCATCGTAATTTGGAACTGTGCATGCAAATGGTGCACAAAGAAGCTCTTTGCTACTTTTTTATAGTTTTCTTTTTATGCTTAAGAATTCGTTTATCTTGACTTGAACTACTTGCCTACCATGCATCAATTTTCTTAGCAAAATATGAAAATTATTTGTCGATTATATTATAGTTATGATCAATTTTAAGATCATTTTAATGAGCTGAATGTGGAATATCATTTATGCGTTTCAGTTACCGTTATTTTGGGATTGAGTCATACGCTGCTAATAGTTGCTATTTTTATTATTTTTCCATTATTTACATTTTGGCTATTTCATAAAGACATAGGTTTTACAGATGACCAATTTCAAATTGATGTTTTTGACTTAGTTTTTTTGCAACAGGGCCCTGAAAGGCTATTTTCACTTTTTTTTAATATTTTTAACAGCAATAAGAACCTTACGTATTTTTAGATGGTAACCCAATGGTTAATCTATCCATATTTGATGATTTTTGTTATTAGAATTAATCTAATAGGGCTGACTTTTTATTGGTGCAGCAATGCCGGGCAAGGGCTATTTTCACTTGGAAACATATTTTGGATTAATATTTACAAGTAAAAATTAGGTTGTACGTAAGACGCATTTTGGATCTCTAAACTTGATTGCCAGGTCAGATTGCCATAGGGCCACGACACGCCAGTTCCAAAATTTAGTTCTGAGATTATTTATAATTGGAATATTTATAATTGATAAAACCGTATATAGGTAACCGCCGCATAGCACGGTAATTCTATAACACAGATTCGCTCTAACACGGTTTGAGAATTAATACCATCTAATAAAATGAGCACAAAATTTTAATGAAGATAGCATTGCATGTGGTCAATATATAAAGATCTTTTCGTTAAAAGCAAGTAATTGCGAATATTTTTTCTGAAAAAAATAACGCACGGGTCTGGAGGTAGTACAGAAAGCTGCTCAGAGGATGAGTATATCTTGCAAGAAAGGATCTTGTTAAATAGCACTTATCCTTTAATTATGATGAAAAAAATCCTATAGCTGATGTAATGTATATTACTTCTTAAAAAAATTAATAATTATAACATTTATTATAAAATTATATGTAGCATGTTTTTTTGATTTCTTGGAACGTAACCCCTATTTTTGTACTAGTTCTTCGTTCCGTATAACACGGATTCGCATAACACGCTACTTTTTTTAAACGTAATTGCCGTGTTATGCGAGGGTTACCTGTATATTAATATATAATGTCTACAATGTGTTATTACAGATGACTGCGTGTTCTTCGGACTTGGCGGATCAGAAGAATGAATGCGTAGAATTGCATGTCTCCAATTTGGACCAGTCGTTGGAGCGCCAGGAGCTCCTCAGTGCCCTACAATCGTCATTTCGGGAGCATGTGCATGTTATTAATTTGTATGTTTACACCGTTGGCGATGGCTCGCTATGCGCTTCTGTTACTGTTCCTACCAAACAGGTATTCAATACTAAATGTGTAATGTATATACACATTTGTGTATGTATTTAGTCAACCCTCCGTTTACCTCTATATACCCCTCCATACTACGCAAATCCGAAGATACATTTCTAGGAGGATTTCCTCCTACAACACGGTACTCCGTATAACGCTAATATCTCTCAACGGCCACGAGTTCTTTTCGCGCAGCCTATGAACCATATGATTCATATGGTACTCATATGAACGATTCTAGTAATTAGATATGGTTGTAAAAAGTTCTAATGTAGGTTTTATTAACTATTTTCTTTTACAATATATATACGTGTATATATATATATATATATATATACACTCACACAATTACATAGCTATCATATAAACTGGCATGTTTATATAAATAGTTGTGTTATCTTTGGATTAATTGTGATGGCTTTTTCACAGAACATTCGTCTCTCTAAAAGATACATTTGCTTGAACAACCATTTTTTCTAACAAAATTCTTATTAAAGTTTTTTTATGTATGTTGTTCTTTGCTATTAGCTTTTATATAATCACTTCAAATTTTTATTATCGGGATTCGATCTGAGCGCCTTTGCATCTGAAAGCTGAGCGCTTACCGATTCGACTATGCACGCCGTCAAAAATTTGTACAAAAATTTAAGTTAGTTTAGTTTTAAGTTTTGGTCTCCGTATAACGCGCTTTATACTAATTCCGGTTCTACCCATACATCGCGGTAGCATTTTTTCATAGAACGCATTACCAATTAGCCTAATTGTAAGTTGTACGTTAAATCCTAGTTTTTTATAGCACGGTTCCCATACTACACGATACGCACTCATCGCGTTAACGGAAGATTGACTGTATATTATTTTTTAATAAAATCAGTGCAAAATTGTATTTAAGTATCATTAGCTGTCATTTCATTATTACCCGAGGAAAAAAATAAAAATAGAGGGACCGATTCTGCCGCATAACAGAAAAATGTTATGGCAAGGCATTGTTACGCTCCGACTTCCATACATTATGCTACTGAATCATACTGAATACTGTCAAAATGTCATGTACTTGCAATGCAATCAGGCAGTTTTACACATAACTGCAACGTCAACGTCGTATGTTCTGGAGCTGTATCAGAAACACATTGTTATCTTAGCCGTTTTTACTTACAATAATCGCAAAAAAATCGAAAATAAAAATTTTTATAACTTACCCTACGGGAAGTTGATAAAAACGAAGCCAAATCATTAAGACATATTACCTGTACTATTCACCCTTGCGTCGCTGACATAAAAATTTTGGTACTGTACTTTTGGTGCAAAGTGAATCCATTACACATACATGTTTAATTATGTCTTTACGATTTTTTCATTATTAACTTCCCGTAGGGTAAGTTATAGTAATCGCAAAAAAATCGAAAATGAAAATTTTTATATATCTTTACGTTTCAGAGGTTTCTGAACATTTTGGCATACCTTAGAAAAAATGGATGTATGTGTGTGTGTGTGTGTATGTGTGTGTGTATGTGTGTGTATGTGTGTGTATGTATGTACGTGTGTGTATGTATGTGCGGATACAAATTTTCGTCGACGATTTCGGGAACACGGATCAACCGATTTGAATAATTCAAAAAACATTCGATTCGTATTGATAAGGAGACGTGCTGATTAGTTTTTGGCAAAGGCAGGTCTAGCCGTTCCGAAGATACGGGGCAAAAAGTGCCGAAAACGGTAACTCAGTTTTTGAGAGAACGGAGCGTCCGATTTAAATAATTCAAAAAACATTTCACTTGTATTGACAAGATGAAGAATCGATAAAATTTTCATAAATGTAGGTCTAGCGGTTTCGGAGATATGGAGGAAAAAGTAAAAAAATGAGCCATTTGGCGGTCAAAAATGATCATTAGACATATGCACATCAAATTATCAGATATTTTATAGAGATTTTAACAATAAGTATACATTTTGTTAACATTCCTATGGGTTCCGTACCAATGCTTATGCGTTAGACAGCGACGCGGCGCTTACGCGCTTTATATTTTGTCCCTATGCAGTTAAATCAGTACGATTGCTTTGAAAAAAAAGTTCAGATCTTCCACAATATGTCAAAATAAAGGAAAAATTTTTTTTTTTCAAAAAAAAAAAATTAAAAAAAAATTTTTTTTTTTCAAAAAAAAAATTAAAAATTTTTTTTTTTCAAAAAATTAAAAATTTTTTTTTTTCAAAAAAAAAATTAAATTTTTTTTTTTTTTTTTTAATTTTTTTTTTCAAAAAAAAGTAATTTTTTGTCCATATATATAGTTTCTCAAAAATCTTATTTTTTCAAAGTACATTTTTTTCAAAAATGTTAATCGTTTTTAAAAAATTAATAATTTTTGGTACGGGAAGTTCCAGCAATTTGCCTTAAGGCACGATGCCTTAATTGCCTTAAGACAGAATTCCACTTACAGCTAGTTCATATCATTAGTTAACCTGTTAACTGTAGCGACCGCATTGAAATGTGCTCACATGTCACAACTGCTCCTTTATCGACACATCCTTAAATAATTCTAAAGATCTTCAAATTCCAAATTCTAAAAATTTGGTAATAGATTTTGTTTTTTTTTATTTAGAAGTTGCGATGTATATAAGTAACCAATAACGAGTATACTCGTCAATATACAAAAATCTTTTATTTCTCCATGACGAGCACATTAGTCAAACCTAGTTGACTGGTTCAGGAAATAATATTCATTGATAATTTCTCGAATGTAATATATTTTGAGTTTTGTACAATTTTGTTCAGCTCTACCTTCATATTTTATTGACGTTACATTATTAACTAGCAACGATATTTGAAGACGTTATATTCTAAATATTTATTATTTTTTGCAGGACGCTCAATATGCAATATCCCAAGTTCACAGAAAACGAATTGGAGCGAAACGAATCATGATCTCGTATGCTGCTAATAACGAAAATAATAACCACAACTTTTTAAAAACTCAAGTCATCGCATTTTTACAGGTATTTTTTAACTTTTATACAATAAAATATTAAGCAGTTAATTAACGTTAGCTTTATATACGAGTCATTTATGCTTTTTTCTAGTCGATTCCTGGACAAGTGTTGCCTTTGTTCAAGTTTCGTGAACTATTCGAGTCTCACTACTTGAATTCAATTTCTCTCTCTGATTTATATCGTATGCGTGATATCTGCACAATTTCGGAAACTGCTGGCGGTAGAATTGTGGAACTAAATCATAAATATAAAAACTACTCGAGCTTGACCCAAATGATTTCTCGACAGGTAAATTTTAAAATTCCTGATTTTTATCCTCTTTTGAAATATTTAAGGCATGGTCTCACCTTCTACTTACTATTTTTATTATTCTAGTTATGATTTGTTTTTATCTTTTTATTTATGTGATATACTTCAGGAAATGTTTTTGAATCTACACTTTTCATTCTCAACAATTTGAAACTCTCAGCAAAACACACCGATTCACATTATACATTTAAGGGGTTACACCATTTTAGCAGCCAAATAAACGTATATTTTTGCCATTTTTTTCGGGCTTCAGAAAAAGTAGAAAAAATTATATTAAAAATAGTTATTGGTACTTTAAAATAACAAAATAAAATATAATTGTAAAAAAAATGATAACGCAGCCATTTCGGCGAGCCTCATTAAATTGGATGCGCTCCGCAGCACGCAAAATAAGTGCAATTTTTATTTTTTTTATTCGAATTTTCTACAGTATATAACATTTTGAAGTACCTATCATAACGGATTTCAAAAATGTCGATTTTTGTTTGGCGAGAACTTTATTCAAAATCGTTAAATTTCAACGACAAAAACGGATAGTAACTTGTTAATAATTGATGAACAAATTAACATATAAAAAATCGTTATGATGGGCACTTAAAGATGTAATTTTAAATATACTGTATAAAATTCGTATGAAAAACATTTAAATTGTTATAGTTATTTTCGTGCCGCGTTGAAAAATCGTGTTTCGAGAAAACGCGTTTAAAGTTTTGAAATAAATTATAGTTAAGAACGAATGATCAATTTGTCAGTTTAATTTTTTTACTGATAATCTAATATTCCAGCAACATACAAATGCCTTTCTATATTTATAATTTTTGTCTTATTTTCTTCCCTTGATGATTATATATTAGAACGTCCTACTTTTGGTGCATTCGCCTTTGGTTCGGCATGCTTAGCCGTTTATAATCGACTTTAAGACAAAAATTATATGTTTAGATGCCAATATGAATTTCCAAAACGTAGAAATTATCCCCAGCAATATCAGCTGCAATATAGTCGATTCTTATGTGTTGACTTTGCACTAATCATCTATTGGTTAAAAATGCTTTTATAGTTTATTTATACGACATAAATGCTTTATAACAACATATATTAGTATATTTAAGATTATTTTTTAACATATATTAGTATATTTAAGAAGATACATGTTGTCATTTTGCTTTGTTTTTTGTTAATGGATTTGTGCGGTGTCGGTTCGGAGCAGTCCGACGCGCATGGAAAAAAGTTCATGACTATAAGTTAAAAAAAAAATGCTTTAGGTATTGAATATTTTTCCTCTTATTCTAAATTGTTCAAAGTACGTTTTAAGTCTAAACATGTTTTTTTTTTGGTTTTCGAAAAATTTACAGTGCTGTAACCTCTTCAGTACAGAAAGTACTAATGGTGTCTCCTTTAGATTATCATCTAAAATTGTTCAAATTTTAGACAGTGCAAATAAATATTTAGAAGATAACATAAAATAATTTTATCTCTTTTATTTCTTTATGGTTTTGCCGTAGTTTTATGGATTTATATCCAAGTTTTTTTTATCCTGTTTTCAATTTATTTTACCTACACTTCTATTTACCTCTTTAAGGTTTATATAGATATCGCATCTGCATTACATATACACATGTCATAACTCTTCTGTAAAAAACTACGGGACGAAAAGTCAGTATTTTTGTATAAATTTGATTATTTTATTCATTTTTATTTAGGAGAACGAATTTCCATTCTGTGTGCAACATTGCAAACCAACATCGGATCAGTGCTGGGCTCTTCGTACAACGGACGTTTTACCCATAGTGTGTATTGGCATAAAAGAACTTAATAGCAATTTATGCAAGTTAATGGAAACACATTGTGGATCTGTTCCTTTGCCAAGGTATGTTATACTTATAAAAGATTTTACAATCTAAGTAATATTAATAATAATAATCATAGTATTACAATCTAATAATTTGTAGTTTGGCAACCTGTTATGAAGCTGAGTTAGGAATATCTTTACCAATTGATCAAAACTGCGGGGTTGCTCTTGAGCATTTAGTAAGTTGTTGTTCTGACATCCTGATCAGCCAATCTGTTACTGGAGTTAAATATGTAAAACGTTTGGTGAGCAACGAAAAATTAAACACACACATTGAAGGTACGTAAACTTCTTAGCATAATATTTTATGCTACATAGAAAACATTTGTTTGATTCTTGATTTTAATGATGCTAGTGTCCTATGTGCATAAATTATGAATAAACTATAAATTTTAGGAAAAGACACCTTCTATGATAACTTGTCTCCAGCGTTGGCACATCAATTTTCACAATTTTCTCGGGAAATCGTAGATCTGCTGAAAACCTCTCATAAATGCCAGTTGCCTTTCAACAAATTCATACCAGCTTATCATCATCATTTTGGAAGGCAGTGCAGAGTTGCTGATTATGGGTAACTAGGCTTCTCAATATCGATTAAGATCTATCTTGATACAACCTTACCTCAATTTGTATCCTTATGATAACAATTTTTGTAAAACTATTACTATAGTATTTATTTTAACCTTTTTGTCAAGGGCATCGTAATAAGTAGATATATGTAAAATACAATTCATTTAAGGCTGGTTTAGAAATTAAAATCGATAAAATTTATCAATTACATTTGTATCTCTTTTTTAGGTACACAAAGCTAATAGAACTATTTGACTCACTTTCATCTACGGTCCAAGTGATGGGAGAAGGAAATAAGCGTTTCATCACATTAACACACCGTGCCCAAATTAAGAGATTTACTTCCGATTTGTGCAGGGTTCTCAAAGCTCAAAATAGCAAACAGATGCTGCTTTCCGAATTTCCATCGCAGTATAAAAAAGTTTTTGGTGAGTTCTGGATTTTAACTGTTATTTTATGATCTTCGCTAGTCGGTGTTCTACATACATTTGATAATTTTAACGATTTTTCACATTGTTTATCTAAAAAATGTAAGCAAAAATTTAGTTCAGTTTTCTTTCATTATGTTGATCACTATATTATAACACGGTATGAATGTTTGTAACGCGGTATGCACTCACCGCGTAATAGGAAGGTTGACTGCATATAGAACTCCGCCTGTGAAAACTTTTCTTCAGTTATTATCAAAATGAGCTCTTGCTAACATAAATATAACTTAAAACAACATACTATTTAAGGATAAACTAGAAATAGACTTTTAAGCCTTTTAGAAACTTCTGTTCAATATTCTTCATAATCATTTATTAAACTTAGTACTAGATAAGATTTATACCTGGCAATCAAAGTTTTTCATAATTTATGCTAATTATCGTAATTCTAAAAATGGAAGATCAAGATTAACCCTTTCCACTCGAGAATTCCGAGATTTACACATATTTTGCCGGAATGGCGGCATCCGAGTAGAAAGGGTTTAAAGTTTGATGGGCTATTCTAATTTGCCTTCGACTTTTTTTATTCGGCAATGTTCTCATTCATAACAAATAATCTACTGTAGTTGTTTTATATGAACATACTTGTTGTATATATAATTTTCAGATATATTTCATAGGTAGTTGTTTATCGAATGTCAAATAGTTTATCAAGTAATTCCGAATATTGAATTCAAATTCTATATTTAGAAAACTGGCGACAAATGATCTGAATCCGGGACAAATAATGCTTAGAAAAACTCGGGGTACAAGCCAGAAATCCGGGTTTGTTTTGACCAAAACAAGACGTAGTCAATTCACATAATCATTTTTTAGTAAAAAAAAGAATCACATTGCGTTAAACGGCTTATAGCAATTGAAAACGTATGCTTACTCGACTAAATTATTCATAATCATCAGACAAAATACATCTGGAGCACAACTATAGAATTTGGATGAAATTCAATAATAGACGAATAAAGTATTGCTTGATGACACCATCAAATACACATTGATTTTGTATGGCGCTTTCTGAATTTCACATGAAAATTGACATAATAAATTTTCTTAAGATCTTCTACTATTGCTAATATTCTTTTGCCAATTTATTCGTTTATCATATCCAGCTGTTAAACCAGTCAACTCTAAATGTTATCAATATCCTTCACAGCATTTATTACTTTAAGGGGCACAAGTAGTGTAACCGCCTAAAAAAGGTGATTTTTGGGAATTTATGTTAAAAAAAACTACTTTATCAATCATTTCAAAATTTTAGGAATATATTTATACATGTTTTAAGAATACATAGTAAAATTTTTGAAGAAGAAAATTAAATATTTTTTAAGTTATCGTCGATCTCCAACGGCGCGACAAAAAAGCCTTTCACTGCTGCAGTGATTCCGGCCTTCTATGTGGATGAAATTTAAACAAAAAAATTCTTGTTGATTTAGATCATATTGTCTGTAAAATGAACTCTGATAAAGAGAAAAAATCAAAAATTGACAAAATGGCGTCCTTTTTAAAAAAAAAAATGGATTTTACCCAAAATTTTGGTCGTTTTTGGACTGCCAAAATTCGATTTTTGATCCGATCAAAAAATCGATAGTTCATTTTACGGAGAACTATATATAGAATATGTAAAAAAATTGATAGTGATCGGATCATTTGTTTTTGAGTAATCGCTGCAGCAAATTCGGAAAATGCTGTTTCGAGAAAAACGCTTTTAAAGATAAATTGATCGTTATACTATTATATACTATATATATCCTCTTTAAATGGCCGTGACTCGAAAACTATTTAAGATATCGATTTGAAATTTTGGTATGTTATTTTTAAAGCTATATAACCATATCAAAATATGGAAAAATTGAAAATTCGATTTTTTGAAAATTTCGCTCTAATTGTGCTCCTTTGAAATTAAAAAAAAACTTCTATGATGAAACAATACTAAAATTGTACTTCGTTTTCTTTTATTATTTCTAGATCGTGCATTTGATATTACTGAATATGGTGTTTGTATGATATCCGACATTGTGCACGAAGTCAATGCAAATACGATAGTAGTGGAAAAGCTACAAAATGGTGATATCGCTCTTTCCAGGCCAAGACATAATCAGACTGAGATGGAAAAAAGGAAAACTAATATCTTCAAATTAGAGGTGATTTAGAGATTTACAGAAATTATTTCGTAGTTCTCAATGATTTTGTTCAAAACCTTTTTATATATTCTAAAAAATAACCATCTAAGTATCAAGTCACAGATTTGTACAATTTTCTTTTGCGAAATAGGTAAATTAATTTAGTCCTAATCTTGCGATTTTTCACAATATTATACACCAAATTTTAGTTGACCCTTTTTTAGATACAGCCATGAAAAAATTCCGAAGGGTTGTTAAATTTTTTCATATTAGGCTTTACAATTCAATTATGTACTTAAGATTCCAAATTAACCTAGGCCGCATAGCGAGTAGTAAATCACATTATGCCATTTTTTTATGAAATTACATAAAACATAATTTTTAGATGTCATATTTTTAATGTACTTAAACACGTAATACATTCTAAATAGATGTAAACTAGAAATCCTAAATGTTCAAGTTTTGTATATTTTTTGACGATTTTATAGAACGTAATCAATTTGTCTTTAAATCAATGCGCTCGTTAAATTGTTTTCATTATTACCTAACACTAACGGACATTCATTTGAAATAAAGAAATGATTTGGCTTATTACAATAAAATAATTTATATTATAAAAAAGCTCAATTTTTTTCAGTGCAATATTAATCAACGTTATAGCTTGATATCTGTTAAAAATGTTTGCTAACTTATGCAAATATAATTTTTAAAAAATATAATCTTTTGGTAATTATAGTGTTTCTCCTAATTATGAAAATCGTGACCTTGCCTTCAATACGCTAATAATCAATAGACAACTTTTCCTAAAATTGTGATACTATATTTATTCTAAATTTTGGAACAGGCAATTGAGCTCCTGAGTCACGCACCACAATATTCGATGCAATTTAATAAATTCGTACCAGCTTACCACCATCATTTTGGTCACCAGTGTCGTGTCTCAGAATACGGATTTACTAAACTTATAGAACTGTTTGAAGCAATTCCGGATATAGTGCAGGTAAATATAAAACACATCAGAACAAATTAAACCCTTAGATTTATATCAATATCTATAAAATATGTCGATGCAATAAATAGAACATTTAGATTGTTTAAATTTATTATGGAACTTAGCCCTTCTTTGCATGATTTTTTCTATTTTAATAAAATAAATCAGGGTGATGTAATTAATGCTCTACGAGGTCTGTTCAAAAAGTACCCGGAATTTTCGTTTTTTCAAAAAAATATTTATTTATTCGTCTACATTAATGTGGTCCCCTTCAAAGTAGTCCCCCCCAGATATAATACACTTATGCCAGCGTTTTTTCCAATTTTCGAAGCACCCTTGATATTCACTTTTTGATATGTCCTTGAGCACTCTCAGCGATTTTCTTCAATCGAGGAAAACCGCCGTCCTTTCATGGGTCTCTTCAACTTTGGGAATAGGAAAAAGTCACACGGAGCCATATCTGGTGAATTTTTGCACTTTGCAACACTTTATTTCATTTTTTACGCAAAATTTAATACAAATTCTTTGACTTTTCAATTCTTCCATTGTAAAAATCGCCGAGCTCAGAAAAACACGTCGAACCTTAGCGACTACCACAGACAAAGTAAACAGTGAATATAGCTGAAAATTTCATCATACTTTAGGGGCATGTATACCAACACAATAAAAAAAAATTTTGACAATCAGACACTCCAGACCCGCGAAATTTAATTATTAGTAATTCCGGGTACTTTTTGAACACACCTCGTATATTAAAAGAAAAATAGTTTAAAAAATTCTAATGTAAATACAAGTATGTATTATGTAAAAAAACAATATGGAAATTTACATCATTATGCATTGCCGCATAGCTAGCTCAGAACTATATAAAATAACAATTATTTTTATTTAAGCACAAATTGATACCGCACTTACTGATTTGGCCCATTGTAAGCAGACTTTTTTACGTTCTCTTCTTTCTTGAGCAGTTTTATAAACATTCCAAGAGTTTATAATAGCTCGATCAAATAGATAAAAAAATATGCAAATACCACTTTTTAGAAGTCTTTGTTATATGATTTCTGCCCAAAAAGCTATCAATGAGATCTACTTCTCCCATATGTTTATTGTTTGAACTTTGGCGACCAGTATGATCTTGTGCTAGGAATTTTGATTACTGACATGTAGAATATTATACCAAATAACTTATACAAATCATAATCTGTTTCTTCAAAAAACAACACAAAAAAATATTTACAAAAAAATCTTTGCCATACATTACAAATGGAACTACTGCATAGATATGCAAAATTTCCATCACATAGTTTTGAGAACTTCATTCATAGTGTTTTGATATAAATTGTACATAAAACAACAAAAACGTGAAAACAAACTCTTTTCTCACTCATTTTCACTTTTACTGTATTTTATATCTTCGTTATAACAAACTAAGAACTTGCTCCTTTTTTCCAGTAACAACAAACAGGGAAATGACAAGTTCTAGTCCTGGTAATTAACAGTGACGTTTGCTATTTCTTTTAAAAAATGCATTTTGTTGTACGCAATAGTCGCTTAAAATGTTGCCAGCAACAAATTTACATATCAGTTCAAGGGTTTCTAGTACTTTTTTTTGTTGACAAAATAGTATGATTGAAATTTCCATCGCCATGCAAAGAAGGGTTAAACAGTAACTATTATACTTATTGAATTTGGCAGATAATCGATTGCGGTAAAAATAATGACGATCGTCAAGTTCGTCTAACACCAGAAGAAGCGACAAAAGTATTAAGCGTGCAACTGGAGCAGATCCTGCAATCGTCTTCTTCCGGCCGCAATAAGGAAGCAGCTACGTTAAAACAAGTTTCGGCTGAATTTACGCGCCGATACGGATATGCATTAAATGCAGAAGTTTATAAATGCCAAGATATCGAGCAAGTTTTAATGAAGCTGCAGAATATAAAGGCAAGCATTTATGATCGTTAAGTTTATTATGTAGCCGAAATAATCGCCCGAATTGTAATCATAATTGTTTGTTCTCGATAACATGAAATAATATGCATTTTCATCGAGATCTTCGTATTTTTCCTCATGAACACTTTTTCGAGAAAAACTACTATACTCGTGTCGATTCCCACCAGTACCCACTAAATTTTGCAAAATCAGATGTTAACACGCAAACAGGAAAATATTTAGTTATCTTTCTGTACATAATATTTATGGTTTACAAATAAAATAGCGCCACAAATCTACAAAATTTTTACAATTAAATAATTTGTTTGATAACCCTTTGGTCATCGATGATCAGAGACTACATTTTTTTTTTAAGTATCTAAACACTAAGCCTGACTCCAAGTCTGGCTTCTGACTTGACTCCTGTCTTCTGACTGGCTAACTAAATCTCAGCTTCTTCTTATATACTAAATAATTGTACACAAAACGTGATTCCAAAATCTAACAGCAAAGACGGAAGAACTTCGGATAATCTTCATCAAATAGCACGTAGTGCTTTAACAAAAACAATAAATTTTTAGTTTTTTCTTAATGGTTTTTTATTAGCTTTTAGAAATGGTCGCTTCCTGCTATCTCTTTTGTCTGAAAGAGTAAAATTTCTTATTTTGTATTTCAAATCATTTTGAGTACTTACAATTAGCATAAAAACTAGTGTCGTTTGCCTGACATATTCTCAAACTCTGTGACTGAAGCTTCCAAAATTTAGACGTCGTTTGATCACCTAAGTTTTTTATTTGCACGAAATATAAACAATTTTTAGATTTGAGAAAAAAAACATTAAACTTTTAACCACTTCGGTATGAGCGACAACTATACTTGACGCCCGCAAATGCGTCACGTTTAGTGCACGAGCGTAACGCTCAGCGTTTGCGGGCAATAGGCGCCGTACCGAAGTGGTTAAATCTAAAATATCATTTTATAAATCACTAAACATTACGTACTAATCACTAAACAATTACGTACAAATCTCCTGGAGAAAGTTTGTTTCCGCTAAAAAAAAATCTGATTCGCTAAATTTTTCTTATCGATATTCAAGTGATACTAAGTCGCTTGCCATCAAAATTGAAAAACTTGTGTGTATGTGTAATATGTAAGTCAAAAATTGACATTTTGTCCATTCCATCTACGTTTTGCCAAAGTGTTGAACAGACTCCAAACATTTTAGCTACTTGATCAACTCCATGAGGATTCCCATTTAATAATTAACTTCCCGTATGGTAAGTTATAGTAATTGCAAAAAAATCGAAAATTAAAATTTTTATATATCTTTACGTTTCAGAGGTTTCTGAATATTTTGGTATACCTTAGAAAAAATGGATGTATGTGTACATGTGTGCGTGTGTGTGTGTTCGGATACAAATTTTCGTCGACGATTTCGGGAGCACGGATGAAGCGATTTGAATACAAAAAACATTCGATTCGTATTGATAAGAAGACGTGCTGATTAGTTTTCAAAGGCAGGTCTAGCTGTTCCGAAGATACGGGGCAAAAAGTGCCAAAAACGGTAACACGGTTTTTAAGAGAATGGAGTATCCGATTTTAAAAATTCAAAGAACCATTTTACTTCTATTGACAAGATGAAGAATTGATCAAATTTTCATGAAGACAGGTCTAGCGGTTTCGGAGATCTAATGAAAAAAATAAAACAAAAAGCCATTTGGCGGTCAAAAATGATCATTAGACACATGCACATCAAATTATCAGATATTTTATAGAGATTTTTACAATAAGTATGAATTTTGTTTACATTCCTATGGGTTCCGTACCAATGTTTATCCGTTGGACGGCGACGCGGCGCTTACGCGCTTTGACATTTCGTCTCTATGCAATTAAAGCAGTACAATCATTCAAATCGGACGCTCCGTTTTTTTAAAAACTGAGTTGCCGTTTTTGGCACTTCTTGCCCCGTAATTTCGGAACGGCTAGACCTGCCTTTGCCAAAAACTAATCAGCACGTCCCCTTATCAATACGAATCGAATGCTTTTTGAATTATTCAAATCGGTTGATACATGATCCCGAAATCGTCGACGAAAATTTGTATCCGAACATACATGCATACACGCACACACATACACACACACACACACACACACACACACAAACACACATACATCCATTTTTTCTAAGGTATGCCAAAATGTTCAGAAGGTTTTGAAGCGTAAAGATATATAAAAAAATTCATTTTCAATTTTTTGCGATTACTATAATTTACCCTACGGGAAGTTAATAATTTTTGGTACGGGAAGTTCCTGCAATTTGCCTTAAGGCACGATGCCATGCGCCCCACTAGTTTTGTGATAAAATCGGCCCAACCAATTTTCATAATTGGTAGACAAGTCCTAATAATTTATCCACATTATCAAAAATTGATTTTCGAAATTTGATTTGATTTCGAATTCTGATTAATTTTTGAAGATCGGCTAGGCCTTTTCTTCGAGTCATAAAATAATATAAAATATCCTTAAATTTTCGTAGACTCCTATTTATTATGTTGATTATTCACATAAATCGGAAAATTTTTTTTCCTTTTTTAAGGAAAAATGCCGCTTACACCTAGTATTTTATTTTTAAATCGAAATATCAATACACTTTTATTTGCATGACGTGCTAATTTTGCGTTTATTACAGATTTCTAAAACGCCGGATAATGGAATTATTCTGGAATTGCAAAATTGTGTTCAAGAATCTAATATGTCCAATAAGATAATTACTGGATTACCGCCCGGCTATGATAGTAGATACAAAAAACGCAAGCAAAAGTCGAATTTCGGCCAAACGTTTGGAAACAATTACAAATTATCTTCTGCTGTCGGAGACAGATCAGTAAAGCCACAATACTCCAGTTTCTTCAAATCCATTGACAAACCAGAACCAACAAATTATAATTTTAAAACGTCAATTTGTGCGAAAGAAAATGAACATGATCTATCTCGAGACGGTTCTCTAATCGCAAGTGTTGATAAAGATTCGGCTTATATTGCAAATATGCGTAATTACAATTTTGGAAACTTAGATAGTTATAATGCAGAACAAAATAAACAGTATGCAAGCACTTCAATAAAGAAAATGTGGCCTCCTGAGTCGCCTAAACTTCGGTCTGCAGGACAGGGACCTTCAGACTCCAGGGTTGTTGATATTTCAAGCATTTTAAGTGAATATGGTTACGGGTATAACTATTTAGATGAGATATTAAATGGACGTCAATTTGCTGGTATGTTTATCAATTTCTTATAAATACCTATATCGTTTATTTTACCTTATCTGTATTTTGCTAATTTTTAATTAGCACTGCATATATAAAAATTAAAATAAGATTTTATTAAAAATTTAGGAAATTTTTGTTTGATAACAAACAAATATATCTACGTTAATAATTATATATGTTTCAGGTTTAGAGACATCAGTCTTCCATTGTCCAACTACAACTAATTTAAATGAAATCTATGAATGATCACCAGTTTATGAAAATCTTATTTTATATTCTAAAATATCAATGCATTGAGTGATTTCTAAATTTTATAATAAAATTGTTTTATATTAATAAATTGCTTTTATAATAAATTAATGATTTTTATTAACAGAACCATGCTTCACCAGATTGAGTAACCGAGAATGTTATACTGTATATAAAAAGTTACATACATTATTATGCATTACACTCTTTCATAATATATAATAAAGTATATAAAAAATGTTTAAAGTGAAATAAAAACTTAAATATTCAAATAAATTTTTCAATGAATTAACCAGTAAAATATATATCACCCATATTCTTCAAATAAATCAAGTTTAAAAATAAGTAAATCTTCTAGTTCACTTAACAATCCCAAGTTTGTACAAAAGTACTTTTCACTCATAATAATCTAAGAAAATCTGATCTATAAATGAATTTCAAGTGAATGTAGACGAAGCAATTGAATTGTTTACTATAAGTAACTCCAGATTAATTCTTTATTGAATCAGCTGTATACTTGCACAATCGTTTTTACAACGAAAAATTCATTCTTTGAATAATGTACTTTAAAGAACTGAGTATTTCTACCTAGGCCTTTTACAGTTTCACACAGACCCAATGCACCTGGATGTTCTACATACCTATTGATGAAATCGATTTGAAACAATCTGTCGAAATCTTGAGCAAGTTATAAAGAAGATGAAATATCTGAGCATGAATATTATAATGATGTAAAAATGCAAGTTTTTTGTATCTTTTAGAAGTGAAACGACAGCATAAATAATTAAATACTTATATCCATAATTTTAACTTAGAATGTGTGTGTATGTTTGATAAGCTTGATTTTACAGATAGTTAACAAAACAAATGTGTGTGTATAAAAAGATTTTTTATATTTTTGTTAGATACTGTTTTTTGTTATTATTAATTTTATACTATCCATATTTTCGTACTTCAAATCCATATTAATTTGATTGAGAAACGTTTTTACTTAGTATCCAAAATACTAAGTGCATTTGAAAAGAATATAGATATATTATAAATTAAAAAAAATTATTTGAGTCTTCGATAAATTATATTATAATAGTTAATTATAATTGTAATTACAAATTTTATGGTATATAAGTTAACTGAAGAATTTCAAAAATTTAAACACTTTGAACAATATACTTCATATAACAATACTTTATCTTTTGATGAATATAAATGTTTTAGCAAATTAAATTTTCTGTTTGAATTTCGCGCTTTAAATTTTTCAAAATTGGGGCAGCGGTCATTTTGCTAACTTCAATCATTTCAATTGTCAAAAAGATTTTTGTAAATGAACATGTTATCGCGTTAATTGAGAGTTTTTAATTACATTATTGATTAGTTTTAATTAATTGCATGCATCAAATTGTTTAATTAAATCTGTACATCAATGTGATATAAAAAATATATCGTGCAACGTTTGTAAAAAGTTAAAAAAATGGCTATGTGTGGAAGTGCTACCTTAATTGTCATAATTATCTCTTTCAGGGCCCCCATTTTGAAATAATATTATAATTAATCATGTTATTTACAGTGATAATGTATCCTTTATCTATATATATATGCAAATGGCAAATGTATATTTTATATATGAATGTGTATACTTTTGTAGGTTATGGTAGCGCATTTCTACATCATATCTATTTTAAAAATATTTATTTTTGTGTAAAGACTTTACTCGGACAATTGCAATATGTCGAATAGACTTGTAAAAGACAAAGTGAAGTTATGTAGTGGTTTTAAAGTAGTGATTTTGTGTCAAGTATTTGATATTTCTGGCAGATGCTCCAGATAGTTTTGTGTTCTGCTAGCTGAAGAGGATTTCTAGCAATGTAAGTGCAGAGCATGTTTTATACAAAGCGAGTCAAAGAATATATTTCTGATATTATATACAGGCATTTATCGTACTACATCTAATGTACCTATAATGAATTGAAATACTGAATTCAAAATGCAATTTTGAAAATCTTTGATGTTTAGCACAATATTGTTTGTCATCTTCAGTGAAACTATAATTTGAATAGAGATAAATAATAAGATAATACTTATAATTTATTTTCTAAAAAGGGTTTACTATTACTGACCGGATTTGTATTACATGCCACTTTTTGTATGAAAAAATTAATTGGAAGATGCTGAGAACTTGTCCCTTTCTTATCCGATATCATTTATATATAAGGTATATGAATCAAAGCAGTCTGGGCATATTTTACAGAAATATTTTATGGCTCGTGAATTATTATCATTTCACATACATATATCTGCTGCAAATCTTGTTAATAACATTTTATTAATAAGGTACATTTTATTAATTTGTTGCTTGCTTCAAAGCATGAAATACAGTTAATCTTTTGTTTATTCAACAACAACTATTATACGAATAAAAGAATTTAAATTAATTCGGCAGACATGTGTAAAAGACTATGTTCTTATTTAATTTATTATGGGGAAAACATTTTGATTCAATTTGAGTATCTATTTACACAAGTGTATTTTATACATGTTTTCAATCAATATAAGGGAAAAACTTGTACTTCTCCATGGCATTGAAAATAATTTTTATTATTACAATTCCATAAATAGTCAATCAAAATTTTTTTTGTTCTATAAATGACACTTGATTTTTAAGATCTTGTTTTGACTGAATTTGAATTTACTTTTCGAAGGACCATATGTAAAACACTTAATTGATAACTGTATATATTTATTTTGTATTAATAACAAGTTATAAGTGTATTTACAATAGCTTTAATACTGTTTTTGATTACGTTCTGACTGATTTGTATGATTTTGGTTTTTATAATTATCTATTGATGATTTTTTGTTTAATATATCAAATATATCCGCATGCTTTGATTGGCGCGAACAACACTATTAGCTGATTTTGTGTAGAATTCAGAATTCTTGTATCTTAAATTTTTGTTACTAAATTATTAGTTAACCAATACAGCTTTTTGTATGCATTGATTACTTATTCAATAAAGGAGCCATAGCATCCCTAAAATTAATGGTATTTAAGATAAAATTCTAGTTCTGAAGAGTTTGTTTTTCAGAAAGCATTTCAACAGCAAATATATTTTTTGTGCCACTCTATTTTATAAAGGAAAAGATACTTTGTTACATAAATCTTGTTTTTTATAACACCTCTTGTTCATTATTCTAAGAAAATAATTTTTAAAATTATATCTCTAGTGTCAAGAATCATGTGTTTTCCCTGTAGCGATATTAACTGCATGTACATTCTTATTAATGATAACACGATTGTTGGTTTTGATCAAAATATTTAAAATACTTGATATGACTTTTGTTGTTTGAAGAGTTGTCAATTAAATGCAGCTTTTAAAAGTCTTTTAATGTAATTTTATTTTAAATTTATTTAATTATGTTGCTGCATAGCTAAATTATAAATTTTTATTCTTTCAATGCTAAAAACAATTTTGATCCAGACACGCAATCAAAGTTTCGAAGAGTTGACTTGAATGATTAGACAAAACATAATTTTCTTTACAAGTTTATTATTCGATTCAAGTTGTAAAAATTATTTAACTCAATTTCTAAAAGATAACATTCAGCTTTAAACAGTTTGAAGCTTTTAATGTTCAAGTTTTATTGAATGTCATTTATGTTTTTTTTCAATAATTTGTATGTTATTCAAGTCAACTACATTTGTTTTCGCTTCGATTAATTGTAAAGGTTTCACATGTTTTATCAAGTCATATATAAATATTTTTTATTGGAATTGGTGTGGGGGAACACTAAAAAACATAAAAAAGTTTCAACGCTGAACCGGAAAGTGAAAAAATCGTCTGGGACTTAGGGTTTTTTTTTTAGGTTCTCCATGTTATTTCTATATTCTTATACTGTATTTATAGTGAATTTGAATAAAGCATATGTCTCATACACACATCTCTCTTATTCATCATCGGCCTCTACCCTTCTCTTTTCCCCATTCTTCCTATATCTTCGTCATGTCCCTCTTTATACCTCTATCTCTTACAGTCAAGTGCGAACCTTAAATTTTTGTTTTTCAGAAATATTCTAAGTGTCAAGGTCGAAATGCGCCACCTGAATTTAATATTTTGAACTAATATTTGATAATTATGAAAAACTGTAGAATTGATTTTTGAAACCTCTTCGGGATTTGAACCGAGAAACGACGAGCAACCGTAGTGGTAACTTAACGATCTCGGCCAACTGGCTATACAAAAAACATACCTATTTGTAAAATTATAAAGTCTTATTTTTAAATGAAAGATATAAGTTTCCTGAATAATTTTTAAATAAATAAGATATATAGATAAGTAATTAAATTTATTGAGTGTCAGTATTACGAATATCGACATAATATATATATATATATATATATATATATATATATATAAATATATATACATATATACATAAAAATATAAGATAATAGTAGGTAGTGGATAGAATTTAATAAATTCGTATTTACGCCTGGTTACCAGTAAGCCAAACATACTTTGGTGTAATTTAAAAATTTTACACATTTTACTATTTCCCATATAAAACCGGTTTATCAGGGGGTGCCAAAATTGGCTAAAATCGTGACTTTTTAAGGTAATTTTAAGGCACTTAATAAATGAAATTAATAATTCTAATGCATTGTGTAGACTAAAGTACAATCTTTATACCAAACCAAAAAAATTACAAATATATCATCAGCTTCATAGTTAAAATCAGCTTCAAAGTTGGCATTTTTTCAAACTTCAAGTTGGTCGAAAGGGTGGAAGAAATTTTTTATCCAAAAACTGATTTCATATTCGGAATCAGCGCCTCGAAAACTATCAGAATAGGTCAAAACATTTGGAAAATCGCGAAAAAAAAGTTCATTTCATTAGTAAAATTTTGATTTTGCAAACAAAGATTTCGATTTTTTGCAGAGGTATGTAGATTTATCTAAAAATGAATTACAATTCCAAATTCAGCGATTCAAAATCTATCAAAACCAATCAAAACATTTTGAAAATCGAAAAAAAAATCTTTTTTTTTTTTTAAAA